ATAGCTGAGTGTTTGCATTTTTTGAAAAAGCCGGATGGTCCAGGGGTCGCCATTCGCAAATGCAGCTGCTTTTTCGGGGGCAATTTTTTTAAATGACGGTGTAGGTGGCTTCGATGGTGTACTTTTTGTATCGTTTGTCGCTTTATCGCTGGGATCTAGCTGGAAAGAACGTAATGGCACAAAATCTTTGACATGCTGTAAAAACTGGGCTTTTTATAAAACAAATAAAAACTATTTATACTTATTTTAAAAATAAATAAAACTCAAGATAAAATTAAAAACTGTAAAATAACGGCTCAATTTTTATAATCTAAGCATCATTACATTCTAAACATAATTTCCAAAAAAATGAAGATCGGTCGTCGGCTGAAAGTATTGTTTTCCACTGTTTTTGAGTGCATTTGCATTGAGTAGATCAGTTTATTGAGCATTGTTCAACACTAAGCCGTCCCATAGGCAAACGTGCGGCACCTGCCGTTATCACTTCCGGCAGACGCCTGGAAAGGGCTGCACAGGTCGACGGTATTAACAGTCCTTCGAAATTTCACGATCAGCAATTCGCCATCGTCGCGCGGTCCGGTACCAATGTTCGACGAAGGTTTGCACGCCAAAGTTATGCCGGACTATTATCTGGGGATGTGGCTCAAAACGGTCGGGGCTTCCCGGCAGCGAAGGGCCAACATTTCGCCCGCTGAAGTATTCGGTGGACACCTTTTTGATCTCGCGCTCACCACGTAGCCATTCATCCACCAAATTTTCGGTATAGTCTTGATCGTAGAAGCCGGAAGTGTGCAGGGTTAGATGCGGATGCTTTAAGCCCAGATATTCTGAGGGTGGGACGGTGATTTTGGCGTCGAGGCGCTGGATGTGTCTGTTGATCCAGGATAGCACTTCGAGGCTAGGGCGCAAATTTTCCATGGTGAGAACAAGCTCTCCGACCGATTTTTGTAGTTTAAATGTTCGATCTGGGTCCAGGTCATCATAGCATAGATTCAGATACAGGTGGCTAATGGAGCCAACTTCCGGAGGTTGGCCATGCTGGTGTGGCTCAAACGTGTTAGCCGCATAAAACAGCATCCTGAGGATCTCGATGTCCTCTATAGTAGCCGAACCGACCGGCGGACTAAAACTATAGCCCCTGCCAATCGACTCCTTCGTGACGGCCACTTTCCATTGCTTATCTTGGTAGTGTTTCGTCATCTCCAGCATGGCTCTACTCGTCATCACGGTTTTCAAGAAACTTCTGAAATCCATATGCCGAAGGATGCGCTGATGGATTTCGATCGGGAATACGTGGAAATCCATTTCTGAAAATACTGGATAGCGCAGAAAATTCAGGAAGATGTGCATGCACATTTTCGAAATCCAGAAAGCACTTTGTCGCAAATAATTTTTTCGAAATGTCATATTTCCAAAACTCAGAATTCCGAAAAATCTACGTCCAACTATCAACAGGAAATCGTCGCAAATGGCATGAAATAACAATGACAAAAGTTTCAAATCCTTATTTTCGAAAATATAACTTTTGGAACTAAGACTTTGCGAAAAAAGGATTTTCGAAAAGTAAGTTTCGGAATTACGGAATTACGCACGAAAATCTCTGCATTGGGATGGAATCTTTGAGAATAGTTTTTACTTTGCAAGACTCAAAAAACCAATTGCTAATTGCGCCTAAAAGTAGACAACTATGGATGACGGGGGAGTCGATCTAAATGAGTGAGGGCGACAAGTTAAAATCGAGACAAAACGTCAAAAGCGCGTAAAATTGCATGCCTGTGCTACGTAGTTGCGCCTGCCATGTGCGCACGGCCTTATCAATTGGGGGAACATGGCAAGGCTGGGCCTTCTTTGAGGCTTTTTACGGCTTTTAGCCCTTCACAAGCGCACTAAAATTCGGGAACTCTTGGAAATAAGGCTGTGATTTTAATAAATTGTATACCAGCGCAGAAATGCGTGCGAGGGAGGGGGGAGAGAAAGTGGATGAGAATGAGCTAGAGAGCGAGAGAGAGCGAGAGAGCGAGCGAGAGAGAGAATAGGTTAGAGAGCGAGAGAGAGAGACAGAGAGAGAGAGAAGAGAGAGAGAGAGAGAGAGAGAGAGAGAGAGAGAGAGAGAGAGAGAGAGAGAGCGAAATAGAGAAAGCACGAGACTGTGTTCGAAAGGCCTGACTCAATTTATTCAGTGTTAGCCTCGCCCAAAAACAAAGTCCTTGTACATCTGGTCACAGTCGTGCTCGATTGCCTGGTGGGGGATGCAGAACGTGACGGATGGCAAGTAGTTCGTGACACATTTTAAGATTAATACTTTTCCGTCGGGCCGGCGTAGGCGATACCAGATTTCGACGGCACCCGATCTGGGAATTGCAATCTTTGGGAAACGAGCATAAAAGGCTGGATCGAGGGGCGGGTGCGTCCGCGCGTCCCATGCTGGTTGGTAATAGCTGTAGACCCACTCAATTTCCCTCTCGCCCTGCAGCCATTCCGTTACGAGCGTTTGTGTAAAGCGTTCTGCGGCCATATCGAAACTGCCTTTTTCGTAGAAGTACATTCTAGGCAGGTTCAATGGCACATATTTCGACTGTTGTGCGCTGATTGTGGCCGTGAGCACCTCGACGTTGCCATTGATCCAAGCCAGGAATTCCGTGGTTGGGGGCAACAATACTGTCATGTAGGCGTATACATATTTCCCGGCGGGTTTGTGCCGCTTTAGAACCGGGAGAAGAGCCTCGAATTCGTGGTACAGTGTCAGACGGCGGCTGCGAACGTCGATACTTTGGGGAAATGGCCTCCAGAGCGACAAACCGTTGACGGTAGCGTTATGGGCGACCAGTCTGATAGTATGGATCGGTAGATTGCCAGGACCAAAGGGCAGGCCGTCAAGTGTAAGCGAGTATAAGTCTCCGCCCTCCCTCTCGTCCGAGATCCCGATCTGCTCCCATGTCTTGTCCCGGCACGCTCTGGCCATCTCCAGCATTGCCCTGCTCGTATGGGCTGTCTTCAGGAAGCCCTTGACATCCATGCTCCGCATGATGTGATGTTGTACCATGACGGGAAGCGCGCAGAAGTCCATTGCCTGAAAATTGCTCAATTAGGCCTGGAAAATCAGAAATAGGGAAGCAATCTGGAAGAGGCCACAAAAAATTGTGTAGGTGGGCAATTTCGTAGGTGCACAAGGTGTCCCAATAAAAAAATACCACAAAAAAACTAACTGGACGCAGAAGCATCGGATCGGAACGATAGTTATACCATTCGAAAGCCCTTGAAACGGCGATTTTTTCAAAAACCTTTAAAACTCTATTTTTGTTGAAACCCGCTATTTTCGCAGGCCATCTTGTAAAACTTTTGCTGGTTTTAGAGTTGCAAATGCGCTAATTTCCCTTTATTTCTTCAAGCGAAGTGCCCGGAATTTGCGGTTAATTAGATGCGGAATCCGTCCATTATGGGCGAAATTCGTAATAAAATGGCGCGGTTGAATGATTTAAATAAAATCTAAATAATTTAAATTAAATTTAACTTAGATGAAAACATGGTTTTGAAGATTGTTGCAAACTAGCCGGTTAAAGGGCTTTCGAAAGGTATGACTATCGTTCCGATCCGATACTTTAGGCGTCGAGTTAGAGGGGATGTTTTCATATGGCGTCAATCTGGCGAAGCAGGCTCCGAAAACGTGTCGATAGGTAATTTCGTAGATGTAGGAAACCAGAAAAGATAGGAAATCAGACCAGAAAACTGCTGGACAGCTTGACCTCTTCGCAGTGCTCCGGGAATTACGCACGATGGGCGGGATTTAGGAATCAGATTTACAATTGCGGATTGCACGAATACATCTGTCTGCCCGGAGGCAATATTAAATCAGCACCAAAAGGTGATCAGCCAAGATCTGCGGTATAGCAGTGGTAGCCGTCCTTCTCCATATGCTTCAACTTCAATCGGCCATTCCTGGTTCGGACAATCCATGGACTTTTGCAGGGTTGCTTTCATAATGTCGAAATCATAATGCCGAAATTGCATAATGTCGAAATTTCAGAAATGGAAATTTACATAAACTACCAGGGTTGAAAAACCGCTTCGCGGCTTTTCAACCCTGGCCCCGTCTAGGACCTACGAAAGTATTGACTTTGCATAATTACGGAAAACTGATCACCGAAAACTGAAAAGCACGCCCTCCCTTCCTTTTTATGAGCCATTTCCCCTTCCGGCGTATGCTAATTGCTTCCTAACAAAGAGCTTGGCTGAAAATTTTACAAAAATCTAATTTTAATATCGAAAATAGCAATTTTTCAAAACTTTTATGTGTGTGCAGTCGATTCGGGACCCTTCTTTACCTATTCACGCTTCTTCCCTATCGAAAAAATGCTTCCCTGAGGCTGTAGGTGCGGAACATCCAAACGGGAGTGCATGCAAATATACACACACACACACACAGACACTATTTTTTTATATATAGTAGGATTTTTCCCGGAAAAACCCCGGATCCTTCCAAAAAATATCGACATTATGAAAGTTTCGACATTCGGAATTTCGGCGCCATGAATTTCGACATTATGATGGTAAATCCCTTTTGCAGCATCGCCCTGCATGAAAATTTTTGAAAGCATTGAGGGAGCTTCAAATATTTTTTGATGCCGAAGCGCGAAAAGCGGGAACGCGATTTCAAAAAATATTCAAAGCGATTTTCAAAACCAATATTTATGATTTATTTAGCGATAAATGTATTATGGCTTAACGCCTGTTTCTGTATGTTACTTCAGTTTTCCGTGTGATTGTACGGCTACGGTTTACTTTACCCCCCAGCCGGAAGTTTTTGGCTATAACTTTTTTATTTTACATTATTGTAGGCTCAAATTAAAACTCTTCGTATATTTTTTGACGCTCTATCGAATGGCGTTGCTAAAAAGCGAAAATACCGACAACTTTGAGACCCTTCGGCTGTGGGGGGGTAAAGTACACTCTTGCCGATTTTACTGTAACTCTCGTTGAATGCAGACCAGCTGAACACTTTAACGACCCCACGACGCCGGATCGCAGTCGGTCGTCTGATTGCGGTTGGTCCCGATTGGCCGGCAGTATCCACGGGGGCTACGGCCAATTTGTTCGCAGCAGAAAAGCCCATCCATGCACTCTTGATAGTCGAGCTTCCTGTTACAGTGAACGTTCTTCTCGATGCGTCTCTTAAATGTATCGGGGAATTAACGATACGCAATTCTCTTTCGGTTGCCTATCAGAAGCCTCAAAATTAGAAGCGAAAGCGAAAATTTCGGACTTTATGGTAGCTCAATTTTTGAATTTTTAGGACATCGAGCGTGCACTTCCAAAGCCTCGAAATGTCTCAGGATTCCAACAAGTTTCCGTCTCTCTAGCTATTTCTCCCTATCTTTCTCGCTTTCGCTCCCTCTCTCTCTCTCTCTCTCTCTCTCTCTCTCTCTCTCTTTCTCCCTCTCTCTGTCAATCTCTCAATCCGCTAGCCGCATTAAACAACAGCAAAAAAATTTTAATACATACCCTGGGCCTGCATAGATAATCCTTGCCACAGTACCAATGCGGTTTGCACGGGAGCTTCCGACACTCCTCGAGAAACGCGGCCGAGGTCAGCGCCAGGAACGCAATATAAAAAACCCAGCGCATCTTGAATTGCACTTTCCGCCCGCTGCGATTTTTATATGGCCAACGCTGGCTTCCGAATCCATTAAACGGGCTTGAATTCAAATTAGCGGTTCTGTCGCCTTGTGGTCCGCAGGAATCTCGGATTGGGATGGCTTCTACACCATTCGAAACCCTTACTAAAGGCGAGAAAACATCGTGCCGTTTTCTTGAGATTGTAAGCATTTTGTTGATAGTACTGTTTTGTTAAAAAAACCTTCACAAAATCACGATTAGCATGTGATAGAGAGAGAGAGCGAGAAAGAGAGAGAGAGAAAGAGAGCGGGAGAGATAGGAGAGTATGGGTTAATTTGCTTACCTTCTATCTTTGGTTTTCGAATTCAGATTTTTACCTGGAGGAAAGCTGGCGAAAGGTCACCATTTTCTTGGTTATTTTCTCACTTTCTCTCTCGCTCGCTCTCTCTCTCCTCTATCTCACTCTCTCTCGCTCTTTGTCTTTATAATGCCTTTGATCTAATCACAAATATTTATCAAATAACCAGGGTTGAAAAGCCGCTTCGCGACTTTTCAACCCTGGCCCCGTCTAATCCTATGATGTTCTTTGTTTTGCATAATTGTGCCTCAATTCCGATGACAAAAAAATGAAAAATGCTTCCTTTGGGCCTTTATATAGGCTACTGCAACTTCCGGCGTATGCTAATTTCTCCTAACAAAGTGGCTGGCCGAATTTTCACGAAAAACTTAATTTTAACGTCGAAAACAAAATATTTTACAAAATCTGATATGCGTGCAGTCATCTACAGGCCATTACGCGTCTAATGACGTATCATACGCCCGCTTCATCCCTTCCCCTCTTGAGATATCCTCCGGACACGGTGACGGAAGTTGCATGCAAATGCACACACACACACACACAGAAACTATTTTTTTATATATAGTAGGAATTGCCTCATGCAAACCCACAAAGAATCCGATTCAGCGTATTCTGATAAAGCAACCGGATCGTCCTCGGCAACAGAATTCACCGGAACGACATATCGCCCCAAAGCACTCGGCTCTCTATAGTTTTACGATTCCTTTTTTTGACGTTTAATTTTCAGCTCTCCTTCTCCAAATCATTAATAGACCCCAAGCTCACCTCGCCTACGGCAGCGGCAACGAGAAGAAGCAGCAGAAAATAAAAAAATCGAGCGCATTTCGGATGGTGAAGAGAACCGAATTTTTAGGCTTTTCTGGCGATATACGATAGATTATGTAGACTCTATGTTTCATACCAATTTTGTAAATTCCGGATTTTCGGGATGGTGGTTTCAAAACTAGGGCATTTGGAAATACGACATTTGAAATGCTAAGAAAGGATTTTCGAAAATGTCGACTTTTTCTCTGGCAACCGCATTACCGGTGGAGTTCCCGAGCTGGCCGTAAATTTCTTTTTCGACGTGTTCTAAAGCTTTTCATGTTCTACCTCGACAATCCTTTTCCTCTCTATGTTTCTCTGCCTATTGTTTAATGTTTATTGTGTTTTTAAAAATTGCGTAGATATTTATCTCAGAAATGTCTTTAGCTCTCGCTATTTTCCTACTGGAGGACACTCAGGGGTAGTCACAAAAAAGCACGCCTTCGCCGAAGGGCAGCAGTATTCATACCAGGAACAGGATTTGCCGTAGCAGTCACGGCTCTGCAATTTTTTCATATATAAATTGCCGAATATAGTATTCAATTCGCGCGTTAAATCCAAACCACCTCAACTACCGTAACCGCGATGGCCAGCAGCAGCAGCAGAGTGTAGAAAATAGAAGGCATTTTGAATGGCAAAAGGCGGGATCTTGACGTTTTTAAGGCGCATTCTTTTCGATCTACGGCCTTTGGTTTCTGGCCTTATGCGGCAGCGGAGATGCACCATGTTTTATTCAACGAAAATCAGGGCCTGAAGCTGAGTTGTTTTTTGGAAACAGGTCTCCAAAACTCCCTACAAAGAAGTGAAGCTGTTTTTGTTTCTTGTCTAGAAATAAAACACACAATACCTACGTTTGGGGTCCCACTCTTTTCTTTTTTGCAACTTTAAAAATCCTGTAAAAAATGTTTATCAATTTTGAATGTAGCGAAACGACTTTTTTATAGTAATTAGAACATGACGAACATTTTAAGCTTGTTTACGCATTAATAGGGCGTAGGGCTGAAAAGTGAGGGCTCCCCCAGCCTAAAAAAACTAGAGTTCAGCCCGATTTTTCGGGACAACCTGTAGTAGTGAATCTCTGAACTAACGAAATTAACTATAATAATTTTGCTGTGGTGTCTGTCTGTCTGTCTGTCTGTCCGTCATGTCCCAGATTCAACTCGAAGGGGAAAGGAGCTAGAACTTAGCTCTCTTCGGATTCGGATAGAGCGTGGTCAGAAACCCCCAAACTGATAAAAAAAATTATGAAAAACTTTTAGTTTAAATTATTAAAATTAACTTTGAAAGTTTTTTCCTTAGTAAAAGGGGTGGGGGCCCTTTCCCGGGAGGCCACGCCCCCTTTCCCTTCGCCCCTCTTCCCCAGGCCCTTTCCCGCGTCCAAATAGCTTTTGAAGTTACTTGAAAACTTTTAATACTTTTTAATTATGTTAATTTCTTATTTAAACCTTTAAAGTATCGGGATGGAATCTAAGTAGTTTTTGAAGGGGATTTCGGCTATGGAGGGTATCTGATGCCATCAGGAAGTTATTTAGGTAGTTTTTGAAGGGGATTTCAGCCATGGGGGTATCTGAAGCCATCAGGAAGGTTTTAGGTAGTTTTTGAAGGGTATTTCAGCTATGGGGGGTATCTGAAGCCATCAGGAATGTATTTAGGTAGTTTTTGAAGGGAATTTCAGCCATGGGGGGTATCTGAAGCCATCAGGAAGTTATTTAGGTAGTTTTTGAAGGGAATTTCAGCCATGGGGGGTATCTGAAGCCATCAGGAAGTTATTTAGGTAGTTTTTGAAGGGAATTTCAGCCATGGGGGGTATCTGAAGCCATCAGGAAGGTATTTAGGTAGTTTTTGAAGGGTATTTCAGCTATGGGGGGTATCTGAAGCCATCAGGAAGGTATTTAGGTAGTTTTTGAAGGGTATTTCAGCTATGGGGGGTATCTGAAGCCATCAGGAAGGTATTTAGGTCGTTTTTGAAGGGGATTTTGGCTATGGGGGGTATCTGAAGCCATCAGGAAGGTATTTAGGTAGTTTTTGAAGGGGATTTCAGCCATGGGGGTATCTGAAGCCATCAGGAAGTTATTTAGGTAGTTTTTGAAGGGGATTTCAGCCATGGGGGTATCTGAAGCCATCAGGAAGGTTTTAGGTAGTTTTTGAAGGGGACTTTTTAATATACTTTTTAATACTTTTAATTATGTTAATTAATTATTTAAATTATTTAAAGTATCTAGGAAGGTATTTAGGTAGTTTTTGAAGGGAATTTCAGCCATGGGGGGTATCTGAAGCCATCAGGAAGGTATTTAGGTAGTTTTTGAAGGGTATTTCAGCTATGGGGGGTATCTGAAGCCATCAGGAAGGTATTTAGGTAGTTTTTGAAGGGGATTTCGGCTATGGGGGGTATCTGAAGCGATTAGCGTGGGTATTGATGGAGGTAGGGAAGGATGCGGTGGAGTAGGACATGTAGGGTTGCCCGAAGGCCAGATGGTTGCAGTCGCGAAGCGACTGGAACCATCTGGTTAACTAATAACGAATAACAAGATAAAAACTAATGCAACCAATAAAAGTAATAAACTAAATAAATAAAATAATAACTAAAGAGACTAACTAAAAAATAATTAATGCAAAGGGTAAGCTCGATAAAATTTTTTTCGCGTTGCATCCTAATTTGCATGTTATCACGACGTCACGCCGGTATGCGTAGCATTTCTAGTCAGCCGTCACTAGCCTCATTGCAACAAAACAATTTATTCATCACCACTTTACGATCGCCCATACGCAAATTCCCCATATGGACGATCACAGGTTAGTCGGCAAGCTTCGCCGGGGCTGCAAAGCGTCACCGTGGTCCCGTAACCGCTGATGAATTTGACGATCAGCATTTTGCCGTCGGGTCGCTGGATGCGGTACCAAGTCTCCGGCTCTCGTTCCCTGGGAATTTCGAGCTTCGCGAATCGCGCGTAAAAGGCTTGGTCGCGCGGTAGATCCGAATTGTTGGGATCCGAATCGTACAGGGTGTCGATCAATTCAATCGTCCTCTCACCGCGCAGCCACTCGTTGATCATAATTTGTGTGAATTCCTCGGCGGCCGCGTCATAGTGGTGGTCTGCGCAGAACTGCATTGTTGGTAGTTTGAGTGGGACGTACGACGATTGCGGGCTATCGATTATTAGATAGCAACTATCTTTGACGTTTGCATTAATCCAAGCCAGGATTTCGGGGCTCGGCGGTGCGTATAGGTTCGTGCCAACGTGCTCATACCCTCCAGCCGGTTTGTGGCGCTTTAACACCGGAAGCGCATCTTCCACGTGGTATGACAGGTCCAAAACCTTGCTGCGGAGATTGATACCATTAGGAAACGGGTTGAAAAGCAGCATCTCCTGGACGGTGGCGTTATGTGCGATCACCTTCAGGATATCCATATTTGTGGTGTATCTATCCGCTTTGAGCCCGGGACTTTCGCCTACTATTGAAGCAAACGCGTGTCCGTTTCGTCGGTCGTCGTCCCGGATGCCGATTCCCCAGTTCTTGCCGCGGCAATCTTTGGCGATTTCAAGCATTTCCTTGCAAGTTAGAGCCGTTTTGAGGAAGTCAGCCGCGGCCAATTTACGCAGGATGTGTTCTTGTATGACGGTGGGGTACGCTCGGAAATCCATCACCTGAAATGTGTGGGAAATTGTTGTCAGGAGCGCGGTTAGAAAAAGGTGTAGATTAAGAAATGAATAAAAAAATAATGTGGCTTAGCTTACCCTGGAAGATCAGAAGAGTTTCAAAGCTAATTAGGTCAGGAAATGTGTGCCATGAAACCTCATTACGACATGCGCACCGCAAACTCATCTGCGTATCCCGAGGCTGCATGACCTCATCAAAACGCGGGGCCCTGAAATGAATGTTAATTGAGAATAGCAAGAATGTAAAATACGAAGTATCAAAAACTACAAAAATAGTGTTTTGTTGCAGCCAATTTCGCCGCGAAGCATTTCAAGGGGGTAGGGGTCGGAATTTCGAAATTTCGGAATCTCGAAATTTCGGAATCTCGAAATTTCTGAATCTCGAAATTCCGGAAATATTGGCAGATTCCTGGAAGTGAAACTATTATGTATCCAATTTTTTGAAATTCAAATACAAGATTTCGGATAAACGAAAAGTAGACCCTCTGAAAAAATATGTTTATCAACTCGTCGTTTCAAGGGCTTTCGGATGGTATAACTATCATCCCGATCCGACGCTTCTCCGTCGAGTGGAGGGGGTGTTTTCTTTTATCGGGCCCATTTATATTTGAATATCTCTTTGCATATGGGTATCTCCAATACTTCCGGAAATTCGAGATTCGGAAATTCCGAGATTCCGCCATTTCGAGATTCAGAAATTTCGAGATTCCGACTATTACCCATTTCAAGGGCGTCTCGCCGCGTCGCGCATCTCGAAGCCTTCACTGAACAATTATAATGCCCATGCCAAGCCTTCGCGCAAATTCAAAACGTTTTTGCCATCGGCTCAACATCCTTTATTCTTTCGCTTAGCAATAGACGTCCAGTGGCTGGCAACTTCCGAGCTCGGGATCGCCGCTCCAACTGCAGCAGTGTTGCCCCTGAGCGCACAGTGCGCCATGGGCGCAGCGTTGCCGCTAAATTGGTTATCTTGGATATTACATCGTAACAAATGAAAAGCTAAATGTCTGAAAGTGCTAACGATGGCCCAATTTGATCGATTACGCAATGTAAAAACGGAGTTCATACTCGCTGATTGGCATCAACTACGCGGATCCCATTGAAGATGTAAAATAATTGTCTTCACCCACCGGCATGAAGCATATGTTTAGCATGCATTCATGAAATCGAGGGCAATCCGCCGTTGCCTTACATCCACGCTAAAACACACACAATCGCGGTCCGTTAGCTTAAGCTACTCTGACCCACCGTTTCACTCGTTACCGCAGCTATGGCGGCGAGGAGTGGGAGTACACAGAAAAAGAAACGCATCTCTGTTGGTGCAAGTAAAAAGAAGATTGTTACTTTTATAGCACCGCATCCACTTTTCGCCTGCCCTATGTTTTATTCCATCGGCGTGTTGCTTGGCGCGATTTTGTAGTGCTGCGGATGTTTGGACCGGGTTTTCGATTTTTCCAAAAATGAAGATGCCGAGATTTATTTTGAAGAAAAGTATGTTGTCGAAGTTTTGTCTGAAAGCAATTTCCCTAAATTCATAATGTCGAAATTTCACTTTCTTGAATCGTTCTGGTTTTTTTCGCAAAATCCGAAATTACGCCTATTTTAGATTATGGTGGACCCCGAAATAGACCCAGGATTCGCGCGGTGAAACGCCCTTGAAATTTCCCGTCCATTAATTGCCCAGCAAAAACACCCATTTTCCATCAATCAGCGCCGATGTGTTGATGGCGATCTGCAAAATAAAAAAAAGGGGGGGGGCGAAGAAGAACCTGTTTCTGATGGGTGAGCAATTTGTGTCAGGCCTAAAATCTGTGAGTCATACTACTTGCCTGCGCGAACCCGGGGGGACCCAGTGCGCAGCGCGTAGCAAGTCAGTGCTTTTCTGTGCTTTCGGGGGCCACACCACGCTAACAAGTGGGTGTCGTCGGCAACCGGAGTGCCGGGGCATTGTGTCCACCATCCAGGCGTTGAATGCCTTTTCTTGCTGTCTCTCGGCACCTCCCTCTCTCTCGCTCTCTCTCTCGCACTCTCTCACTCTCTTACTCTCTCTCTCTCCCCGTCTCTCTCGCTCCCTCTCTCCCTCGCTTGTCAAACAGTCATTTTACACGCACCTCTGACATCGATCCCTTTTTTGTTCCAGAAATTTTTAATACGTTTTTACAGCTTGACGACCTGCGTACGGAGATCTAGTTTATTGGGTTTTTTTTGTTGATTTTTTTGCTTAGTATTTTTCTCCTGAAACAAAAATCATAATTCACGTTGTTTCTGAGTTTTCATATTTCGCGGGGGTGAAAGCGCAAAAGGTAGAGCGGGAGAGAGGGATAAATAGAATCCGGCGTTCTTTCTGCTTATTTTTGGCGCGTTTCGATTTACAGAACTAAATTTTGTATGGCTGGCTAGCTTGCGGAATTTCATGAGAAAGATTTTATGGAAAAGGTAAAGGATACTTTTTTGATAAATTTACGACCATTAGCCACGATTCGTTTTATTTCCGGCAGTCACATGGTCCCCCAAATCGACCACAGCCGACCGGGGTTTACGTAGAGAACGGGCCGAGAGGACCTAGAGCGAACCCAACGGCAGGGGACACCAACTGACTGTCAAATGGACCCTGAGGATGAGCGAAGGCTGCTTTCCAGAACTCTCCTTCCGGTCGCTGGGCTTTTCAAGGCGTCTCCCCCCCTATCTCTCTCTCTCTCTCTCTCTCTCTCTCTCTCTCTCTCACCCGATATGCTGTTGACAAGATATCATTCGCTGCGGCACCCCATTCAAAAGTACGAGCTCGTTTTTCGATGATTCATCGATTTTGAAACTGGCAGTGTGCCAGATTTCGTGGATCCGGGGGAGGAGGCTTTTCCTTGGTCCATATGGCCCAACCAATCCCAGAAATTACGTTATTTGACTCCTAGAAAAACTAAGTCTCGAATTTCTAACGTTTGCTTTGACCGCGTTTTTCTTACGATTTTAAGTTTTTTCTTGTTTGCTTTTGGCTGATCCTCAATTTTGTAGAATTTTTGAGAGGTTGAGGGGAACTTGGCTCTTTTTTTGCAACCGGAATTGGCGTTTTTGTTACAATGTGAATTTAATTAATTTTGTTACAACGAAAATTAAGGGCTTTTTGTTACAACTAAAATTTGGTGCTTTTTGTTCCGAAAAGAACTTGGGGCTTTTTATTACGACTAGAATTTATTGTTTTTTTTCTAGCAACAAGAATTTAGCGCTTTTTGTTACAACAATTGGCTTTTCTTGTTGTCAAATGGTTTTGGTACCTTTCGTTGCGATAAGAATTTAGCGCTTGTTGTTACAACGAAAATTTAGCTCGATTGTGATTCATTCCCAAAACCTCCGCCTCAATCCGTGTTTTTTAAGCGCCCTGCAAACCTCAAATTTCAGTGCTTTACATAATAATGATTCTCCGGTTGCCGCTGCTGCTCGGACTTGTTTTTCTGCTCCCAATCGATGCAAAGCCCTCCCGATCAGGTCGTGCAAAGGTAAGTAGCGGAAAATTAGCCAAATATCCCCCAGAATAGAGGCGAGCCCACTGCGACCGTTCGCTGAAACACGACGGATCGGAATGGCACTGTGGAAATGGGGCTGCTTCGTATCTTGGGTCGATCGCGCTGTCGCTAATGTCGTTTGACACGCAGGGTAAGTAGAACTAAAAAGCATGGAGGCTTCATTTAAAAGTTGACTACATCAAGGGTTAAGCTACTACTTCTGCATAGAAAACCGAGCTTTTTATATAAATCTAGAATTGCCTGGTAAGCAGGGTTGGTCATTTTGCGTCCCGTCCCCGTCCGTCCGCGTCCGGACGGGGACGCGGGACCGTCACCCTAATTTGCATAAAATTAGGGGACGGACGGGGACGCGTCCGGGAAGGGACGGACGGACTAGAGTGGAGCTTATTCAAATCGGATTTGAATAAGATTTGAACTATTCAAATCAAACCGATTTGATTTGAATCGAGGTAAGCTTGTTCAAATCAAACCGATTTGAATTGGCCAAAGTCAACTCAAATCAAATCAAACCGATTTGATTTGATTTGAGTTATTTGAACAAGATTTGAAGAAGAATGGGCAAGGGTTTTTCCTAGATTTATGCAAAATGTCAAATAATATTATGTAAATCTCGGATGCAAAGTGACATTTCGCCTTTAGCCGCTTCCGGAACAGCGCCGAGCGCAGCGTCGGATAGCTTTTGATCAATTCCAAGCGCTAAGACCACATGTGCAAACGTTTTTGGCGGCCGTTTTATCATTATTACGCAAGTCGGCAACACTAAAAGCCGAAATTAAGGTAATTACCATCCGTTTCAAATTTGCATGCACGGTTTGCCTGTTGTTCAAATTACTCAAATCAACTCAAATCGCAGCAGATTTGATTTGAACTGCCTTTTCTTGTTCAAATCAAATCGGTTTGAGTTGAATTAGAAAATCTTGTTCAAATCGGTCTTATTCAAATCAAATCAGATTTGAGTCCGATTTGATTTGAATAAGCTCCACTCTAGGACGGACAGACGGGGGACGGGGTGACGGTCAGCGTCACCCCGTCCCCGATGCAAATGCCGAAATGCAAATGGTTTTCCTACCAGTAATTATTTCGGGTCTCCTTCTCGTTTCTTTAGGGGAGACAAAAATACATGCAACTCAGGCCAAGCTGGAAGTTATACCGAGATGGCGTCGGCGCTGCAGATAATCACCATTTTTTCGGAATTTGCTACAGAGCTTAGAAATTCGAGATATTCGAGTTAGAAAGCAATTGGTTACTTACTCTACGTGCTAGGTTATAAGCACTTCATCGTAATCATGCTATCCACGTTTTGTACCTTGCTCTGCGAAATTCTAAACCTAGTCGATGCGTGATTTGAATGCCATTACTTGATCCCCGTAATTTGCATCGGGGACGGGGACGCTGCCCCGTCACCGTCCGTCCCCACCGTCCCCGTCCCGTCCCCGTCTGTCCCCATTTCGGGATGCAAATTAGGGGACGGGGACGCGTCCCCGTCCCCGTCCGTCCCGTCCGTCCCTGAACAACCCTGCTGGTAAGTTAATAGACAGTGCTTTAATAGTGTTTTTAGCAACAAATAACTATGTTTTAATTAGAAAAGCCATCTAAAATCTTCAAAAATGTTGAAAAAAATTCGAAATTTTGGTCGAAAATCGGGCTTTTTGGCCGACAAATCCATATTTTTGATGGTTTTTGATAAAAATTTGGCAGGTTTTCGCGTTTAGGAATATTAAAAAACCATTTAGAAACGCTGCCACTACTTATATTTAAAAACGAGATCCTAAGAAAAAAGTTGGCGCCCCCGGAAATGCGAAAAAACCAAAACTGTTTTCACAGCTACACAAATACATAAAAATAAATAACCTTTCAGCCATCAACCGCTGCTGCGCCCACCACGACTACAACATTGATTGTCTGATGACGAGGGCGGAAGCGGACGAGGAATTCGACCGGTGCCTCAACAAGGGCAACTTCTTCACCCGGATCTTCACCCGGCCGGTGATGGTCTTCTGCGTCAAGACGTTCCCCGAGACTCCAGACGACGCCTTTGAGAAGAGCCCGGAATATATGGCCTATATCGCCTCCGTTACTTATTACAATTCTACGGACGATTCGATGGACACAAAAATTAATGCGAGTACCGATGGTTTTACCCAAACTTTCGAGATTCCGGAAGATCGTGCGTCATTTGAAGTGCCAAAAGCCGAGCCTCTAATACAAGCAAGTATCGATAGGAATTACGTAAATGAGATTATGGAGGCAGAAGTTACCACTACAACTACGGAAGACCCGTTTGAAGCCAGCTTTGAAGCCACGATCGAAACGGCTCCCGATCTGGGCGGCCTTGCCGATGTTTTTGGCAATTCGACAGAATTCCTTTGAAGCTGACGAAAATAAGGATTTTTTTTGTTGTGATTTGCGATGGAGGTTAGCGGGTATATTTGACGATTTCTTTGATAAATATTACTGAAACGAGTGCTTGGTTCGATAGCGTAAAGTCTATAAAATTAAAAACACAGAATAAAGCCAATTTTGGACAGAAATATATATGCAAAATGTGTAGCGAAACAATCACAACTTTCAAAAGCGAAAAAATAAAATAAAATAGCTTTCCGAATTGGCAAGTTTGTCAAATTCTATATTCTGCAACTTCTACAAATACCTTAAAGTTAATCATCATATAAAAATCTATACCGTTATCATGTTATGCTTTACAAATTAGAAAACGGCAAATGTATCGCAAAGAATTGCATAAAATAGTTTTTCGAGTTTACAAATGATACAAATTCTGTCACCGAACCGCGCGAAAGCCTCGAATTTCCGAAGCCTCTATCAGAAAAAGACGCCGCTTAAATCGCACCACGTACAATACCTTAATCAATATCCTGCATTTCAAAAAACCACTCAATTCAGCTCAAAAGTTCTTTATTTATCAGCGCAAATGTATAAGAACACGCACACGCACACAAGCACATCTCCCCAAACAGAAACGGGCGCTCACGACCCTTGGCGGGGACAGCCAGACGGGGTAGCTTACACGCGAATTTGGGTGAGGTGGCGAAGGTGGGTAGACGGGGGTGGTGGTGGTGGTGGTGGTGGGGAGTAGGGGGTAGAAATAAGGGCCAAGAATAGAAAAACATGGACTATCATAGGGTTGACGCGTGGGGGTGGTGGTGATGCTCGATAGTTCGCGGGTGATGACCACGTTTCCTTGGGCATACAGGGGCGGTGGTGGGGGAAAGATTTTTAGAACATCTGCAACTAGGCTCTAACACATTTTTTGTTTGCTTGGAACGAAACAACGGGGGAGGGCGAACGAACTTGGGGCGGGGATTTCATCGGAGCGGGCAAAACCGATGATTTTAGTGTGTATGGGTGGGCCGGAATGGGGTGGAACTCGGCGGGTCTCTTGGGTAACGTGAGACCCGGTGCTCAAGGGACCGGGCAGCGCTCTATAGCTGGGATTTTTGGGACACGCGACGCCTGGCGGTGCGTCGCGCATCACGGCACGCAGCCCCGAGCGGGTGTTTTCGACTGGGATTAGAGTGGGCGCTTTTTAGGTGGAAAACAAAAGCGGAAGCGGATTTGCCTTTGCCGGTAGCCCCCTCCGGGTTCTGAAGCCCTACCCTCAAAAGTGTGATTTAGTGATCTAGATTTTTTTTTAAAATACCAAACAAAAGAATAGAATTTCGAACGCTCCAAAACCCTAGCGGGGAAAGCAGCCGGCAAAGGGCAGCAGCGTGTTGAAGCAATATATTGGTGTTACACAAACAACAAAGCGGGAGGTGGGCTGCTTTTTAGTGGTGGGCTCAGGAAATGTTCCATTTCTCATTCTGGAGGATGTTGCGCGAGGCGTCGCCGTTGAGGAGGTGCGGCGGCTCGATGAGGGGCGGGTAGCCGAGCGGGTTGGGGCGGGCGCCGATGTCAAGCTGGGGCATTCCGCCGGCCATTCCCATGTAGGCGGCGTTGGAGACGCCTGGTGGAGGCTGGATACGGCGATTCGGCGGCATTTGCATCTGGCTCGTGGGTTGCATCTAAATAGAACAATTAGATTTGCCGCTAAACACAGAAAAAAAAAACGATTTTTCGCGGCTTTTTGACATCCTTGCGACGCCAAAAAAAGAAAATTCATTATCTAGCTCAAACTAATAGTAAAAATTTCGGTATAATTTATAACAGTATATGCGCCAATAATACAGCACGCCTTAACGAAATACGCACCTTTGTACCTCTTTTTATGCCGTTTTAAACATAGAAGATACATAAAAATTAATTAGATTTCGAAAAACTCGGACTCCTGGTCAAAAATGTATCAGAAATGTACGATAAACCCTTTTTCAAAATCTCATGAAGACATTTAAAGTAACCGAAAGCTTATTAAGCAAATAGCTGACAATAAAACCCTATACAAAGCTACAATTTCTTAGGCATGTTAGGCTAGATAGTCTCCCCCCGCTAACAGTCCAGTACCCTCAATGCTTAACAAATCTCCAATAGCTTTCCAAAAGCAAAAAATCTAACTATTTACTAACCCCATTTGCGCGCACCTTCTTCAGGATGAAATCCTTCAGAATCGCCACAGCTCCCTCGAGGCTCTCGTTCTGCAGGTTCGTCTTGTTCTCGATGCAGTACTGGTTGGCCAGGTCGACGAGCTTAGCCTGTTCGAATCCGTTGAAGAATTCCACGAGCCGCGCGATGATTGTTTGGTACTAAAAAGAACATCATTAAATTGGCCTAAAATGAAAAACCAACCCTAACTTGAGCGTTGGGGCCCTGGGCGGTGTTGTGCGCGGGCGGCGTCGGGTTCGGGGCGCTGGTGGGCGGCGCGGCGCGCGAGCTGTCCCAGACGTTGCCGCCGGCGAAGCTCGGGCTCACGCCGCGCATGTAGGTGTTGTGGGCGCCGGGCGCGGGTGCCGCAGCCGCCGGCTTGTTCGCACCCCAGCCGCTCTCATCGGGCCATCCGTTGGTGGTGGTGTGATTCTGGCCGGACGACGAGTTGGAGGAGGCTAAAGAAAATCAATAAGAATATTTTCGATATAAAACTCGAGACTTTTAAAAATCATTTTGGTAGCCATTTTGTAACTATTAAAAAAGTCGATTCCGAACTTTACAAAACTAATCTTTTCTAAAAACTTCAAAGAAGGAATTTGCGAAAATAATTTTAAATAAACTTTTTCAAAAGATTAGCAAAAAAGTTCTATTTAAAAAAAGCTACCTGGCGTAGATGCAAAGTCGCTGGTGAGCGAGCCGAAAGTGCGGTTGCCGGTCGGGAAGAGACTGTCGGTCAAGTTGAAATCGTTCCAGTGGCTCCACGTGGGCAGAGCGCCGGTTCCCGGGGCATTCGTGCAGTTGGTGGCAGGGCCCACGCCGGACGCTTCTCCGCCATTGGCAATTCGGCAGGTCGAGATGGGCGTTCCTGCAAAATCTGGAATAGGAGCGTTGAAAGGAATCACGGAAATAGACATTTTAATTTCGGGCCAAAAACTGAAATGCTAAACTGACCGTGACGGCTCGGGCTTGATGTCTGTGGTTGCGAGGCGACGGTGGCCACCGGCTTCTGAACGGGCGATCCGGGGGCTTTGTTCTGCGGCGAGATGCTGGTGCCGATTGGGGTTGGGAGTTGCGAGGCGCCGGTACGATGTCCGATGACGCCAGCCTGAAAAGCAAAAAAATTCAGATGAAAATCTTCATGAAAAAATTCGGTGAAAATGGGGTGACAATGCTTATTTGCTGGAGCCTTCCTTCTAAAAATTCCTATATATCTCGCGCTGATTAAGGATCCCCGCTTTTCAAAAAAATATCTAAATCGTTTTGCCCTTTCGCCTCGCTTCCTCAATTTTAAACCGTCAGCCATTTTTCACTGAAAAACATCATTATTCAGCAGATTTTGAAAAATGGCGCTTATGTAGAGTTTCAGGCCCTACTGAATGCCTATACCAAATAAATATATTGACGCCTAAAAACGACCCCCCCACGCCTAGAACTAAAAAAGAAAAAGAGCTACTAACCCTGTTCTCCGGTGGAAGCACAACCGATGCCGGGACAAGCGGTTGAATCTGGACGACCTTGCACGGTGGTGGTGGTGCGGGCACGTGGAACTTCGGCAGCTCGGAGAGAGGCCTTCCCTTCTTCAGCGCCTCGTGCTGCGCGTTGAACTCGGTCTTGGCCTGAAAATATGGGATTACAGAATGTTTAAAAAGGGCCTATAGATTAAATAAAAAACAAGAATAAACCCTCACCTGATTCAGTAACTTCTGAATATCGTCAACCTTGGCCTTCCACTCGTCCTTCGACGCGGCGTACAGTTGTTGCTCTTGCGCGTTGCGTGCGCGATTCGCCGCCGCGTCCTCCATCTCGCGCATGTTCTTCGACGCCTCCTCCTTGGCCTGCTCCAGCTTCTTGGTGCCGACCTCGTAGACAAGCTCCACAAACTGGATTTCGACCTTCTTCGCGCGCTCGAGGGCTTGGTTGTGGGCAGCGGCAGCCTTCTGCTTCTCAGAAGCAGCCGTTTGCTCGGCCTTCTTGAGCTGCGACTTGAGATCCTCGTTGGCCTGGCTCAACCTCGAGTTCTCGGACTCCTTTGAGCGAGTCTCATCGGCGAGGTGGCGTTTCAGCTCCTCCTTGGCGGCGGTCTCCCGCTTCACCCGATTTTCAGCCTCTTGGTACTTCTTTTTCTCAGCCTGAAGCTCTTTGTAAAGCGCATCCTTTTGCTCGCGAAGCTCGTCCTTCTCCTCGGCCTGAGCCGTCAGCTCCTTGACGCGCTTCTCCAGCTTCTTGATCTCCTTGTTCTTCTCTTTCAGCTGGTTGTTCAACTTGTCCTTGATCTCCTTCTCGGACCTGAGCTCGCCGAGCGTCTTTGTCAGGTTCTTCTCCGACTTGTCGGCCTCGCGCTTGGACTCGTCGCTGAGCTTCTGAAGGCGAGCCTTCTCCTTGTCGAGCTTCTCGAATTTGGCCTCGACAGCCGACACGGCTTGCGACAACTTTTCGCGGTCCTTGCTGTGGATGTAGTAGGAGTATTTCTCGGCCTTTTGCTGGAGATTTTCGAGGCGCGCGACGTGACGGTTGAGCAAGTAGTCTTCACCGGAATCCCTGAAAAAAGGAGATTAATGTTTGCAATACAGGACCTAATACATTCCAAAAACGTTTTAAGGTCTAAAAACCAACTTTTCGTCGTGAATCGGGGTCTCGATCTCTTCCTCCTCTTCAACGACAACCATATCGCCGAGCTTGCACAGCGACCGGAGCGCATTTTGAACGTCCGGGTTGCGAACACTAAAATCATAAGCCTGAAAATTTAACGATATAGACTCACTTTTGATCAATATGCTGGGTGATGGCGCTGAGCTTCTCCTCGGCCTTCTTCGCGTTCACACAGCACATGGCCATCACGGAGAGGGCCAGATGGATTTGGTGCTGTTGCTGGGCCGCGGCGTTCGGGTACTAAAAGACAAATATGCAAGAAAATGCGAGATTTTTCGTACCATTCCATTTTGATAGCCGCCAACATATTGTTCGTAGGGCAGCATCGGGGCGTTCGGGTCGATTTGGGTGAACTGCTGGGCGACCTGAAAAAAAAACGATAAGATTAACTTCTAAAAGTGCTTGCGCAAGCTTAATTTAGTTGCGAGCGCGCTGCAATGGCAAACAACTTAAATTACGAGATTTGCTAGCATTTATCGGCATTTCATTTTGCCGAAAGTTGAACAAAATGAAAAGAAACCAAATTTAGACCATTTTGATAAGAATTCCAAACATCTCGACTTTGTATGGTAGAAAAACCTTGAACAAACGTTCAGTGTTCCAAAAAAATCTTTTCTGGTAAAAAAACCCCAAAATTACAAAAATGGAACTCCACGATTTTTAGGATTTTAGGTTTTGTAGGAATCAGAAACTCGAAATACGCAAAATTTCACTACCCGACAGCCAACCGAAAGTGAAAAACTTGCCTTGCTCCCCCGCTAACACAAAAGCACCAAATATGCGAAAAAAAATAAGATAAAAACTAACCGCGACATCATCTCCCCGTCCTGCCATCGTGCTCCAGATCCGCGCAAAGGCGTGCGTGATGTAGTCCTGTGTGGCCGGGTTGAGCTCTTCGGGGGTCAGCTCGGCCGTCGCAGACTGTTGAGGCCTCCTCGGCTTTTGGCGCGCAGTGTAGTGTAGGAACGGCGACGGCGGCCAGAATCCTGCAGCGACGTCCTGGTGATAGCGTTCCTGGTCGAAGCCGGGCGGCGGCTGCATGTACTGTCCCATCGCCATCGGATGACCGGGTTGCTGGGCCTGCTGATGTTGCTGCTGCTGGTGGGCCATGGTCTGCTCGTTGAGGTAGGTCTGCGGTTGGAGCTGCGGCATGGCGCTCTGGAATTGATCGAGTGGTTCTTGGTGCAGTCGCATGGCAAATTCCATTGGCGGCGGCGCCTGGAAAAAGACTTTAAGCTAAAGGAGGCTGGAGGAGCGGGTGGCGCGGCTTGATAGTGTGGCCGGGGCGGAGGAGTTGAAGGAGGACGGGGTGGGAGGACGGGGATCGTGCACAAGAAGGGGGGCCTAACCTGGTAATTTGGATTTATCGTTTTTTTTAGAAAAGCTATCAGAAATTGGTAGAAAAGCGCAGAAAAGCTAAACCCCCCTAAAAGGCAAGGCATCAAGGATTTTTTAATAAGCATGCGTCTTTTGCAAGCCGCTACGCAAAGAAAGTACAATAAATACGATAGCCACCTTGCCTGTCCCTTTAAAATGGAGAATTAACAATTAGACGACAAGCACAAGAGAGCGGTCTTTAAAAAAGTACGCAGTGCTATAAATTCGATAGATTTTTAGCGTACTTTTCGAGGAACACTTTCGGAAAAGAACAGGATAGAAATCGACCCAAAAGATCGCCGAAAAAGCCGAGAAAAAACCCCCCACATGGATAGCAGTGGCGTAAGAAGCGGGCACCTGGAGCAGGGGAACATTTAGCTTGCACTAAAGAGAAAGGATATTGCATTGGGGGCCAAAGGGAATCAAGCCAAACCGAGGGCGAGCCATTGAGCACCATCTGGGCCGCCGTCATGCCATCGATGTAACCCACCAGGCCCTGGATCAGATGGTTCGGGTCGACGAGGTCGTTCACCATCGGCTGCATCGTCTGCTGCACGGACTGCGTCTGTGGCACCAGGGGAGCCTGAAAGGAAAAACCATTTAGCATAAGCAAGCCAATAATTCGAAAACAGATTCGTAAAAAGCTAAAAAAAAATACCTGGTTCATCTGCTGTTGCTGCATTTGCTGGAGTTGTTGGTTGATGACCTGCGCATTGGCGGCCGCCTTGCCGCTGACGGCGGTGCTCTTCTTGGCCACGGTCTTCATGGGGCGCTGCGTCCTTGGCGGGGCCGGAACTCGCACTGTGGGCACGGGCACCGTCTCGCCGGTCGAATTCTTCTTGTCCTGCTCCAGTTGGTGCAGGACGACCATCTCGCAGTCGGGCTCCGTTTGGCACTCAGAGTCGCATTTCTTTGGGACTAAAATAAATTGTAAAAAGTTAAAACTAGATAAAACGAGAAAGATCGAAAGAGGGAGAGGTAGAGAGAGAGAGAGAGAGAGAGAGAGAGAGAGAGAGATAAGTCCGAAAACAGACCTAGGCATAGCTGATCAAACCGCTCAGCAAGGCACATATCGCACGGTTGTTCGTCGTTGCGACTGCGTTTCAGCTGAGGGCCTTCACCACTTCCGGAATCCGTATCCGATGAGCACGAGCCGTCCGTGTAGCTATCGTCTTCGTCCATCTAAACCAACGGTTGAAAGACTGAGCCGGACCAAACGAACCTCCATCAAACGCTTGACACTCACCCAGAACAGGCGGACCTTCGCGTCGAGCCACATCATGTTATCCTCGATCACCTGCAAGCGCTCCTCAACGCGAGCATCAAACGTCGGCTTCCACAGTTCGGCGATGTCAAGCTCGTACTGTGGAAGGGTGGAATCGAGGTCGGTTGAGACCAAATCCTTTCCTTCCGCTACCTAAAAAGGAGGCGGATTGTAATGAAATGGTATATTTTTATCAGACCTTAGATTTGACTGAATTTTTTCCACAAATTATCATTCTACAAAAATTTTTATGGCACTAAATTTTGAAAAATGAAAATGCCCCGATTTGTTAAGTTTTTGATTAGTTGAAAATTCAACGAAATAAAAATTCGATCAGATTAAATTCGGTGAAATTGCAACAAATCTAAATAACCTTAAAAATGGTAAATCAGCGCTTTAAGTAGAAAACCAACCTTCTCCTCGTACTCCTCAACAAACGAGATTGCTTTGCGAATAATGTGCTGCCGCTGCAGCTCCATGTCCAGCGGGCCAGTGTTGGTCTTTGACGAGCGCAGGAACTGGTCGATCATCATGTGCAGGTGCTCCTTGGTGTTCTCCTCGTCCAGCGGGATCGCGTCCACCGGCAGCTCGTAGATCTGTTTCGCCAGGTGTATCAGGCTGTCCTCCTTCATGCCGCCGCGGTGGTAGAGCTGCTTGGAGAAACGGCCGTCCAGTCCGTTTTGATGGCCGTTGGCCTCCTTCTTCTCCTCGGATGGTGGTGAACCGGGAGGGGTGGACGCGCGGGTGTTCTTCTTCTTGGCCGTGACGCCGCCGGCGCCCTTCTTGCCATTTTTGCCCTTGGCAGCCGGGACTTTTGGCGCTGATGATTGTGTGATGGCCAACCGGACGGCTGTCGGGTTGTTGTCATCTTCGGAGCCGCCGCGTTGATCTAAAAAAGACGGAATTAATTGATTGCTCTAATAAGAACTATCAAAATTAATATTTTCTCTGCTATTTTGGCAAAGAAATCAAAGAAGTAGTTTATACTAATTGAATTCCTTATTTCCCCACGCCTTTTTTTTTCTTTCGCTCGCGCCCAGTAAAATCTGTTTAAATCGTGTTTCACTGAAAAAAAAACAAGAAAACAGTAGTTCCTATTAGGCTTTATCATTCCCAGTCTTTCATGCAGACTGAAGTGTAAAAAATTTGACCAAAAATCGATCAATTTTAGCTTAAAATTCTGTTCAAATTTCGTGATTTCAGTCGGTCGAAGATCCTGACCAGAAGCTCCTTCCGGATCCGAAATGATCAAAAAAAAATAGAATTTCAGGAAATTTTAGCAAAAAAAATACGGAAATACGGAAATTCTAAATGCCCCGAATTTTACCAGCTGCCTAAATGGCGCCAAATGATGCCTCGCTATTTCTTATCACACACACGTCCCCAGGTGTCCCGGTCCCCATTTTTTCGTGGGAAAATCTGTTTCGCGAAAGTAACTGCCTAAAGACACACACAGGCCCCGTTTCGCTATTTACCGGGGCGGTTGACCCGCCGGGGCGTCTCCGCCCTCCATCAGCCTATCACTCTCTGCGGGCTGTAAAGCTAGACATTCACATGAGGCGAGAGAGGAGGGCCGCTAGAGAGGCGCAGACACCCCGAACGGCCCGATGGATCGGCGAACGGCGAGAGAGGGCAGGGGCGGGGAGAGGGCAGAGACGCCGGGCAGTCCGAGCGCGCTCTTCTTCCTTCGCTCGCTGGCTGGCTCGCTCAGCCTAGACCGCTCAAACACGCGGCGCGTCCGGCCACTCACTCGATCGCTAATCGGGGGCTGTGCCAGTTTGGAATAATACGATTTTCCGTGGAGGAATCGGGGGATGGCGAGGAAATCGATGCAGGGTAGCTAGCCGGAGGGCAGGGAATGGGGGGTGTGGTCAGCTGAGTGCGGGATGTCAAAAAGCAGATGATTTTTTTAGGAAAATTATTCGTTAAACAAGTTAAAATCGATCAACGAAACTAAAAAGCTCCCCTATAAGCCTTAGAAATACCAGGCAATTTCACCAAAGACCGACAAGGTATTTGAGCGGATATTCTTTGGCCGAAAGGCGTCATTTCATTTCACCGAAAATCTAATTCTTATGCAAATTCCTGGGAAGCTCATTTTTGCCCTGTTCATTCGCAGAAAAAAAAGGTTTTTTTTTGTCGTGTTTTAGTTAGTTCATTTCTTTTCCAATCGACGAAATTGCCTAATCTATTGCACAAGATGGTCAACCTTACAAAACCAACGAGCGCGCCTAAACGCAAAAATCCACATTCTAATTTGCAGCCAACCTTAAAATTTTGGTGAAATGAGCGTCATCCGCATAACAACACGAATTCCGAGCCGATCCTAACGTCACACACCCTCACCTTTCTTCTCTATCCGCTGGATGCTCTCGACGACCTTCTGGTCGACCAAAAATTTCTTCTGCGTCTCCAGCTTGTCCTTGATCGCCGCGTCCCGATCCTTGCAGAACTTGAGCGCCTGCGCGTTCGCCTCAAGCGCCAAGTCGATGCAGCCACGCTGGTGCTGTAGAACCGCCAGTTCGTACCAGCTGTGGATCTGCTTTTGGAATTCCTCTTTTGTCCTGGAATGGGGAAAATCGGGTCCATCAAGCGGCAGATTGCTTACAGAATGTTCTTCGGTGCGTCCGCCTTCACCGAGACTTCCAATACCACCCGATCATCTTTGATGTAGCCCTGGCTTTCGTCCAGGATGTCCTGAAAAGGAAAAAAAATAATATTAACTTTGCTAAAATTACGAAGAACCCCCATACGGCTAATACGAACTAACTAAAGCTCGACATCTTTTTATAGTGCTCAAAATACGTTTTCCAACCCCCGTGCGATCTTCATAAATATTCAAAAGGGTACGGAATATTGACCGCATAGTTTTTAACGTTAAAAAACTGCAACGTACCGCCCAAGTCATGAAGCACGAGTATCCCCAATCGTTCTCCTTGGCTGTGTAGGTGTGATTTGTTTTTCGATGGAAATGTGCCACGCCGGGCTTCTGCGATATAAGCCGCAGTTCCGCCGCCGCTTGACATTGCCATGTGCTGAAAAAAACCATGTTTAACGTGAGAAAATGGGCGAGAAATTCGCCGCGTTTATTCAGGTCCTCGACACCAGAAATGACAAAGACAATTTGCAAATGTCCGTTTCTAGAACTCAATTTCCAACAAAAACTCACTCCGAATAAGCATCCGGACAGCATTGCAGAAAAAAGCCCAAGCATTTTTGCGTCCCCTTCTTTTGGACAACGTGCTGCCGTGGCATCACCATGATGCGCCTAAAGCCAAGTGAAAATTTCAGATACCCAACGCGAAAACGTACCATTGCACCCCGTTGATGTTTTTACTCGGTCCCCGCACCGTGTCGTTCATATTCGGAAAGTTTTGGATCATCAATCGCAAAACACCCTCCGAGGATGACGAGGCTTCCGCTTGCGTCGACGTGTCGACTGAAAAAAATATAAATAAACATTGTAGTTTAAAGTTAAAGCAAAAGATAAATCAAGAAAAATAAGCAACAAACCTTTCGGCGTCAATAAACTCGCTTCCCGGGGGTATTCCTCGGTCGTGTCGGTTTGGCAGGCCACCGATATTCCGTTGGGACGTCGATTCCTACGACTCCTAAACCAAAAGGTATGCTAAACTATAGAAAAGGCATACCGCAGCGTATGACCGCAGGGAGGCATGCGACGGTCGAACCGGAAATGGGCGTAAGGCGCCGACGACTCCTTGTGCGCGCCACCGCAAACTGAAACGAGAAAATTAGATTAGTTTTCTGGACCTCTAATCAATTTACTAAAAAGAAAAATCGCTAAGTTTTTATCGAGTTATGTTCACAGTTTCTCTTCCATATTCAGCAAATTTCATCGAGTTAGGCCTAGCGTACTTGTGGTAAAAACCGCCCTGATAAGCCCCAAGCCACGCCCATTTCCTTGCACAATGATTTCACAGGGTAGCATATATAGCCGCAAACTTCCATGCCCACGTCCATTTTCGCTAGTTCCCCGATTTTCACTTGCAAAAATCTATTTTCTAAGTCTTCTCACCTATCGAACACCGCGACTAAAATAAAATTTCAAATACCGTTCTCCCGCGAGTCCGTCCCTAATCCGACCGCCAGGCAAATCCAAAATCCGAGCCCCAAATCTCCACAGGGCGCCCGATTTAGCGATTGCGTTGGCCAGCTAATTCTGCGGATAATCGCCGGGCGAAAAAAAAGCGTAAGATTTGGGTGAAAATTTTGAGCCTACGTCCAAGTTGCCATACAAAGCCCCGGATACAGAAGATTGAACGATGTTTATAAGAGAAAAACTGCGCACCGTGGCCGGAGTGGTGGTTGTTTTCCAGCTGGCCGGCTTCAGAGGGGTCCAGCGGTTGCTGGCCGCAGGAGCCGCCGGCTTCGCCGCCTTCGTCGTGCATCGTCTAGAAAAAAGCGACATTAAAATGTTAATAATAAGGTTAAGAATATAGGGAAAACAATATTACTTGGAAAGATATCGAGAAAACAAAAAATTGGGTAAAAAAAGCTGCAAAAATGCCAGAAAAACCACCGGGCTAACGCTACGTCAGCATCCAAACAACCGGGTCCATTGGAGTTTTCCGTACTCAAAAACCAGATCCACGCACTAATGAAAGCCCAATTATTACCGCTTATAAAAAGTAATGAAAGTTAGTAACCAATATTATGTTTCATTTTCTCGGCTCCAGACACCATAGATACTTTTTAGGCAGTGTCCGCCGGCTCGTTTTCGACGCCTTGATGGCAAAATATCGATTCGAGCTATGGCTGTGGGAACCTTGCAGAGATCGGAAATAAGCGAGAGCGGTATATATTTTCATTAACTGAACGTTTCTCTCGGCCTTTGCTAGTTTTAGGTCCGGTTTTGCAAGAATATCGAAGGCATATGAAAACGGTTGTTAAAAAGCTGTCAAAAATGAACGCAATGCCGAGAAAGATCTGCAAAATAGGCAATAGCTTTTTAGTCCATTTTTCTTATTAGGAATCGGTAGAGGCGCGAATCTGATAAAACGGTGGAACTGCAATTGCGGCTCGCCGACCTCCCCGGTCGATCGATCGGGCGGGCTAGACGCTAAGTTTGCGAAAGTTTGCGCAATCTCGAGTGTATTGTTTTAGCGCATCAGAATCGTGACGTGGTATGAGAAAAGTTAAGAGAAACCTTATTAGTTGACTTTACAACAGAAGAACGCGCTAGTAAAATGGCCAAAGTCAAAACTAGTCATGTTGTTTGCCGAATGAGTCAAGACACATCAAAAATAAGGTGGGGAACGCCGAAAAATGAATTTTGGCACGTTATAACGTCTTATTTTCTAAGTATTAGGCATAGAGTTAGAGTATTTTCTAGTTTTTAATTAATTTATAGCTTAATTTTTGAAAATTTATTGAAATGAAGACAAGATCCAGAAAAATTCAAGCTCCTCGGGTTGCAGATACCTAAGAAACGCTATAAACTTGCAATTTACAGAGGATTACGTCGGAAAAACATCTGGCCAAGCGCGGCGCGTTGTTTATATTTGGGCAAACTTTTTTTGAAGGGCAGGCCTACACCGAATTTTCTAAACATTTAAGAATACTCAACACTGGCTCGTAAGTTGAGTTTTTAGGTGAAGCTGCTAAAGTTTCCGGTTCCACGTAGATTTATCGATTTCTAAAGATCCGATTGATCGATCGGCTTTGCTGATTGGATCTTCAGAGGCCCCGGGGAGTCAATCCTTGACCGAAAGTCAAAAAAACGGGGGACCGGCGCAAAATTCCAGGGTGACGCCCCGGCGGTTGGCCGGAATCCGAATCCGGCCTGCCCGCCTGCGAGAAGCAGTGATCAGCAGCAGAAAGACGTAAAAGAGCCCTCTTCCTCCATCCATCGTCGACCAAATCGTGACCGCGACGCGACCCCCGGGCAGAGCCGCAGCCTCACCCACTACGTGTGCCCCCCAACCACCACTCTCTAGCTGTCTCGCCTCCCACTTCTCTGGCCTCTCTGCACTCTCCCCCCTCACCCTCACTCTCTCCGCAATGGCCGGCTCAGCCAGTGGCCCCGGGAATCGTGGCGAGACCCGAAAGGCACCGTAGCACTGGTGCGGGACCGACCGGCTGTGCTAAAGGGGCCCACAGATGGGCCAAATTTCGAGGGCACCCCCGGGAAAACGGGGTGGTTTTTCGGGTGTTTTTTTGAGCGGATTGCGGGGGGTTTTGAGATTGGCGGGGGTGCGCGGATCGATCAATGTGGGGGGGGGGAATATAAATACGTGGAAAAACCTTGGAAAAGTGAGGTATAATATTAAAAAGTCAAATTATCATTTGAAAGCTATTTCGATTTCTATTTTTCATAACTTTTAGGAGCCCTTGTGCTCTTAAAGTTTCTAGAAATGGAATGTGCGGATCGACAAATAAGGTGATGGCCATAAAGATATCTCAACATCTATCTGAATCGTTAAAGATTAAAGTAATTATCATAAAACTCACTAAATACCTCACCCCTATCCACTCCTATCCCGTAAATACTTTAAAGTTGTCCTACATGTTGAATTCCAGGCTAACACAAGATTTCTGACACTTTCTGACCGGGTGTCGGAGCCGATAAGGGCATTACGCTTCGAAATTTGGCGTCAGAAGGCGTGCATCGGAGTTAATGGGTCACTGCCTGTCAGGGCGCGCATGGGGGTGGGGGAGGGCGTGGCCTAGTGGTCTAAGGCGCCGGTCCCAACTCCAGGCAGAGGGTGCTGGTTCGGTTCCTCTGACCAACAGAAGCTCGTTAGGGTTTTGCACTTTTTTGCAAAAGGTACAGATGGGGATCCAAAACCGATCTAAAGAGAAGCCCAAGCGGAAAATAAAAAGTTTTGCTATTTCCCGGGCTCTAAAGAAGAAAGTGTCTCAGATGGTGCCGATTCGCTCAATAAAGGAATATCATAATAATAAAGACATGTACTGCCCAAATTAGCCCCATTTCAATGATTTCAAGCCCCTTCATCCGTACAAAGCTGAAAACTTTGACTAGCTTCAGTTGTTCAATTATTAGGATCTCTCATTCAGCACCTTTTTTACTTCCCAGGATCGCAGAAGTACCCAATTCGACAGTACCGATTCTTTTCCGATGAATATTGGTTAAAAACCCCGGAAGAATGAGGCTAAACGCAAAGAAAAACGCGGCGCACAAAGCTCGTATTTTCTCAATTTTTCCGGCTTAAATCCTAGATAAATCCTTATTTTCACGCAAGATCACCCTTAAAACCCCTCCCATAATGTGCGCAAGAGTCTTCTCTATGTTTCGTATCGGTGGACTCCCTACAACAACGTCGTTTTCGAAAGTTATAGGCATTTGAAGTTGAAAATTTGTGAGTTTTTTTTTGGCCCCTTTCTTTGCCTCTCTCTCGAAAAATCATGGATCGGTAGGCAAGCATGGTGTGCGCGCGGGCATAGGAACGCTACGGAGCGCCCCCACCTCTCATGAGCGCATTTCTTAATATCTGACAGCCAGTGGGGTAAGGCTTAATCCAAATCATTGTTACGTGTAAATCCATAACCTAAAAAAAACTAAAAAACGAGGAAGCGATATCGCGATTCTGATTCCCGAAGAAGATACATGCCGAACATTGCGCAAATTGGGCCAATCTGGGGTGGCAAAATTGGGTGCTCGGCTCCCTGCCGCAGCACGCGTCTCATTCTGGCATTTTTCTGCGGTTTTTTTGAGGGGTTCTTGGAAACTTCTCGTAGGGCGCGGCATGCTAATTCTGGTGAAATTAATTTGCGCAATTACAGCGCGGGTATTCTAGTCTTATCGAGTTTTGGAACAGTCCAAACATAATTTTTGTTTCTGTTTGTTGGCGCATCGTTTTGAAAGGTTTTTTTTGGTTATTTTACGGTATAAAAATGCTGTCGGCATACTTTAAATCGGCAGTGGTGGAACAGGCTTCATGTTAATTCTGGTGAAATTAGTTTGCGCAATTACAGCGCGTGCATTTTGGATGAATAGAGTCTTTTCGAACGGTCCCATGGTGAGTTTTATTACTGTTTTTTTTGGCGTATCGATTTTAAAGATTTTTTGAGCTATTACAGAGGAATTTGGGAGATTTTTTGGATAGAATTTTTTGGATTTTAATACCTATAAAATACGAATGAAAAGGCCCTTAAATCAATTTGCTATCCAAAAAATCTCCCAAATTCCCCTGTTTTGCTCTAACTCTTTTGTGGGTGTTCGTGGCGAGCGGTTCGGACGCAGCGGCCAGCAGCAGCGGCAGTCGCCCATAAATCAGCGATCTATCTACAAGATTCGGGTAGCGCACACGCATAGCTGGGCGAGTGGAGAGAGGTGAAAGAACGTGGCAGATTATTGGGGTATGGCGAGTGGTGTGTGTGCGCGAAATTGATGGATTGGAAGCAAATTAACGGTTCGGGTGGGCGGGGGTGTCACTGTCCCTTTAAAGGAACCATGAAGGTGGATTTCTGATTTTTTACATGTATCGACTGATAATAGCCTTGCCGTATGGTACACTGGCTGTCAGATATTAAGAAATGCGCTCATGAGAGGTGGGGGCGCTCCGTAGCGTTCCTATGCCCGCGCGCACACCATGCTTGCCTACCGATCCATGATTTTTCGAGAGAGAGGCAAAGAAAGGGGCCAAAAAAAACTCACAAATTTTCAACTTCAAATGCCTATAACTTTCGAAAACGACGTTGTTGTAGGGAGTCCACCGATACGAAACATAGAGAAGACTCTTGCGCACATTATGGGAGGGGTTTTAAGGGTGATCTTGCGTGAAAATAAGGATTTATCTAGGATTTAAGCCGGAAAAATTGAGAAAATACGAGCTTTGTGCGCCGCGTTTTTCTTTGCGTTTAGCCTCATTCTTCCGGGGTTTTTAACCAATATTCATCGGAAAAGAATCGGTACTGTCGAATTGGGTACTTCTGCGATCCTGGGAAGTAAAAAAGGTGCTGAATGAGAGATCCTAATAATTGAACAACTGAAGCTAGTCAAAGTTTTCAGCTTTGTACGGATGAAGGGGCTTGAAATCATTGAAATGGGGCTAATTTGGGCAGTACATGTCTTTGTTATTATGATATTCCTTTATTGAGCGAATCGGCACCATCTGAGACACTTTCTTCTTTAGAGCCCGGGAAATAGCAAAACTTTTTATTTTCCGCTTGGGCTTCTCTTTAGATCGGTTTTGGATCCCCATCTGTACCTTTTGCAAAAAAGTGCAAAACCCTAACGAGCTTCTGTTGGTCAGAGGAACCGAACCAGCACCCTCTGCCTGGAGTTGGGACCGGCGCCTTAGACCACTAGGCCACGCCCTCCCCCACCCCCATGCGCGCCCTGACAGGCAGTGGGTACTAGACTTCTGAACTTGCTGAAGGTTCAGAAGTCTCTTTAAACTAAACTGCTGTCGACTAACTGTCCCTTTAAAGGCGCAAATCCTTCGATGGTTTATAATATCTCATAGATTCACGAAGTAATTTTCATAACTCTTAATTAAGAAACTCATAATTTTTGTATACTTTTAGGGTTGTTGGAGTTGTTCCCAGGTGTTAATGTATCTTTAAAGGAACCGACAATGCATAAATCCTCATTGTGCGTAGGTATTTAACTGAAATTGTAGCATACCGTAATTAATATGGCGATGAGAATATGGCGTAGGTGTCACTGCACCTGGCAAATGCTTGGGCTTGAATTATCGGGCCCGCAAGTGTTGATTCGTCAATTTTTTTGGCTTGATTTGAGCCGTTTCATTTTGTTTCAAGGTGTTAATGTAGCTTGAAAGGAACGAGCAAGACATAAATTCCAATTTTGGCGTAGGTATTGCACTAAATTTGTGGTGTACAGTAATTTCCCTACGGGCCTAAATAGACCGAATGTGGCGTGTGTTGCTACACCTGGCAAATGATGAATTATCGAGCCGGCAAGGGTTGATACGCTGATTTTGTGGGTTGCTTGGGAGTCGCACGTCCCGCTAACTCAGACTCTTACCTTCCAAAAATGAATAAAAAATCGTTACAGTACGCCTGGCTGGCTCCAGCGTTAGAGCGGGCACGATAGCTTAGCTTTCAGATGACCTTAGCAAAAGGATTGATCATTTTACGTGGCGCTGTCCCCTAAATTTATTTAAAATCTTTTTGTCGCGCTCCCTTTAAAAAACGGCAGTTGGACTCTCTTGAGGCCGACCCTTCTTTTAAACTTTAACTTTTAAAGTTGCGCTCAACTGAACAGTTTTTCTCATCAGTAGCGAAAATTTCGCGACTTTCCACCCGTCAGCCTCTACCCTCTACGTGTGTCTGCAAGCGATTGATGGGTGAATGATTCGCAGGGGAAGAGATGGAGGAAGAGCCGCTTCGGCCACCGATCGCCCTCCTGAACCAGTTACACGCATCGACGAGCCATTCCTTTCAGCTCCCATCCACGAACAACACAACCACCCCCCGCAGCCCACTACCATTTCTTTGGACGAAAAAGATCTCTGGGGTCACAGGGAGAGACAGTCAGTGGTTGTGATGCTCAGCTGACCACCCGGATTTAGGAGATCGATAATGGGGAGGAAAAGAAGGGGCAAAAAAAATCGAGACTTTTTAGATAGATCTGCCTTTTAAAGGGGCCGACAAGTCATTGCCATGGCTGCTAGGGGAAATAATTCGCCGGCGCAGGCGTTACGCCACATGCCCGGCAAAATCCATAGGGAATCGATAGCGAGCAAAATATTTCACCGCAACTTCCTTCCCCATTTTTTAGGGACTGGGAAGCCAATCTTTTCTGACTATCGCTATTCCTTGCGGTCCTGCTCTCTCTCTCTCTCTCGCTCTCTCTCTCTCTCTCTCTCTCTCTCTCCCGCTCTGCTCTCTCTCTCTCTCTCTCTCTCTCTCTCTCTCTTTCGCGCGCCCTCTCTCTCGCTCTGCTCTCTCTCGCTCTCTCTCTCTCTCTCTCTCTCTCTCTCTCTCTCTCTCTTTCGCGCGCTCTCTCTCTCTGTCTCCCTTTCTCTCTGTCTCTCTCGCGCTCTATCTCGCTCGTTCTCTCTCTCTCTATCTTGATCTATCTATCTATCTCTTTATACATACCATACATTTATTCTCCAAAAAATCATCCACTTCATTAACCCTGAGTGAAAGTCGGGATCGGGCCACCACCGCTGCAACGGTTATTCTGGAAGCAGCAGACGCAGGCGCGGTTGTCGGAGGAGGCAAAACCGGAGACTTGATCCTATAACGAACTTTTACCATTAAAACCATGATGCGCAAACCGAAGACAGTCCAGCCTGAAGGGCGCGGGCCTGGCAGCAACCGGAGCACCTGGTCTGGATCGGGCCATCCGAGCAGGCCACACTGCCGCTAGACCCGTCGACCTGGGCGAGGAATTGGGTGTTGCGGGAGCAGGCTGGAAGTGTTGGAATGTTAAAGGGGTTCGGACAGGGCGAATTCGGCTGTATTTCAACGGACTTTTCTCAAGTCTTTTAAAAGGAGCGTGACAGCAGCTGTTGGAATTTTTTTCAAGCTATAAATGACTACAAATTGTTCAAAAGTCCGTCCTAAATTAGACTCAATCGATATCTTTTCGAATTTGCAGCCCATTTCCGGAATTTAATTGCTTGCTAAATTGCTGAAGCAGAGCCCTGCAGGGCGCTCTTATCACCTGCTCGATCAAAAAACATATTTTAGGGCCGCAGCGACTTCAGATAACTTTTTTTGCGCAAAAATATGGAGAATCTAGCGGATGGAATGTGGAAACAGCTTTTAAATAACTCTAAACAATAAAAAACGTGTCTGAAAACCCACTAAATCCGCAGGGCAAATTCTGGTTGAACTGGGCGCTGACGGCCAGCACGACGGCGGAAATCAGAAGGATTTTCGTGTACATTTTGACAATTGCAACCCAAATGCGGAAATGCGGATTTTATACCCCCAAAATTTCATCCTTTATTTACATTTCAACGCAGTCAAAACATGAAAAATCATTGGGGATCACAAGAATCATCGCCCCCGAAATGAGCGATTTTTGAGCAGGAAATGATGAAAAAAAGAAATAGAGTTTTAGCAGTGATTTCCGTGTGGGTGACAGTCGGCTTTGTTCATCTCCTAAAATCGGCTTTAAATGATTTTAGCCTGATTTAAAAACCACCTTCATCGCATAGATCAGCCCGGGAATGTAAAAGAGCATCGTCAGCATTATACAGATGCACATTTTGTGTCCATCACCGGTCGCCAGGGCTACGGTCATTGGCTAAAAAATGTAAAATATCCCATTTTTGGATTTAGAAAGCGCCGAGACGTTTTTGAGAGTCCTAATCCATTAAGAGAGATCGAAAAACATACCGGTGAGAAAAAGAGGCAGCAGCATTGCCACGAGTCGGTCATTTTGGATGATCTGGAATTGGAAACCTTTATTGATGGAACGTGACGTCTGCGATAATATTTTAAAGGAAGTTGGCAACAAGAAAGCATAGAAAGTTCTAGTATATAGCGAGCAAGAAGGGCAAATTTCACAGAAGAACGATATTTCCGGCATCAGATTTTCACCAAACGCCCCAAATTCGGTGAGATAAAGGCTATATTGTTGTTCAATTGAGAGATAGTGTTAAGGAGATGAGAGAGAGAGATAGATGAGATAAAGGCTATATGTATTCTTAGTTCCGGAAAATTTTGTTGTTTTGGAACCATCCAACAAGAGCCGCATCAGTCCAAATTTTAACCTCCGACCCAACGTTTTGCATTGTTAGATTAAAAAAAAACAGCCATTTGAACTACGAAACTGAGTAGCTGTACCGCCCTAAGTCTTTCCGGAAGGCAAACAAAATTTATCGAAATGTAAAGAAAGAATCCCGAACCGCGATGCACCAAAAAAAAACCTATCGGACTCGGTAAACCCAGCGCTGAAACCCCCGTGTGAAAGCGAAAAAATGTGCATACAGGTCGTCGCTCAGGCCTTCTCATACGATAAGCCTCGGCCATAAATACGAGGAAAAGCGGGGCCCATCCCCCCGGAATGGCCGATGCCAAAGAAGGGCTTTTCGTGGGGCGGATGAGTCAAGACATGGGGGCTCTTTATCAAGACCAAGTGATGTTACTGCGTCCAATATGAGACGTGGACAAATATTGAGTAAACCGGGTGGGTTTTGGTGTACGTATATTGTCATACCGGGACGCGTACGGACCAGGGAGGTGCGTCAGGAGGAAGGTCAAAGCGCGAATTCGATGAGTAATGAGTGTAATGAAGGGTAATCAGCTTCTTGTAGTTCCGGATAGGAGACCAGTTCGCCTGTGAAGCTGTCAGCAGATGTTGTACTATAGCCTAGTGGGCTTTTGAAGCTTATCAAGACGGAAAAGCTCTCAGCTCTCACCAGGTATTAGCAGTAAGCCCAAAAGCTGACTTTATCGCTTTTTGCGAACTGTAAATACAGTCGAGCTCTTTCTGTATCTCATCTCTATATATCTATATATCTATCTCTCCCTCTCTCTCTCTCTCTCTCTCTCTCTCTCTCTCTCTCTCGCTCTCTGTCTCTCCCGATTTTACAACTTATTTCGCGTTGTTCTGGACCTTTTTTGCTCTTTAGCTCCTTTTGATTTTCTCCATCACTCGTGATCTTTCTCTCTCTCTTTCTCTCTCTCACTCTCACCCTTACTCTCTCTTTCTCTGTCTCTCTCTGTATCTCACTCTCACTCTCTCTTTCTCGTGGATCTTTTACAAGTTTGAGAAACCAAACTAATATGCCTCTTTCTCCTAAATGTGCTAAAATTTATCATGCAGCCCGAATCCGGTCCAGAGGGGAAGAAATCGGGGGATTTTCAGCGACTTGGAAGAACAGGTCCGGTAAAACAAGAAAACGCGGGTGAAAGGGGTCAGTTAGCCGGGCTAGTGGGTTGCCTAAAATTTGGATCGTCACTGCCGGCCGGCACGTTCCCGCGGATGAGCATCTCCTGGCTAATTCGAGTGACATTGATCTTCGGGTCGATCGGGTGCGGGATCGCGAGTTTCAGTAAGGGAAGAGTTATATGAATTTTCCGGGCGCTGCAGGCAGTCAGCACCCATTTTTATGCTGCTGTTAAAGCCAGGCTTTGGAATTTTTTTGCAATTACCCGATGGATGCATCAGTTCATTAATGGGGCAGCATCGACCTTAGGCCAATTTAGAAAATTTGTAACGATTGCTACCCTTTCAATAAAGCTTTTTTCCAGCCGCCCAGTGCTTCACCACTCGCTTCAACCAGGCAATTTCGAATGCAGACCCGGTTGCTGAACTTTTTGAGCTGAAACTTCAGGACTGCCTAAACTACTGTATTCTGAATGCTGCAAAAGCGGGGGTAAGTAATTTGGTCTATTATACGTCACTATGATCCGCGAAACCTTAATTTACCTTTCCTAGGTAGCTAACAAGGCAGTGTCAATTTTAGGACGGATGCTCCTCGGTCGTCTATCACAAAGAGTACAACACCTGTCAGATTTACGGCCAGGATGGGACGATGGGTGAGTCAGCTCTCGGAATTTTCAAAGCAAATAAAATTTTAGGAGGTTCACAAATCGTCGCAGCTCAAAATCACGACTATTACAACAGGACAAGCTTTATTGGGGCGTGCCAGGATCGAGTGGGTGAGTCGATTTCTGTGTTTTTCAGATTAAAAAACTAGTCCATTTTCTGATCTGTAATCGGCTTAAAATTATGTAAAATTGTGTGCTTGCAATGCATCTTTAGTTCCAAGACGCGGCTATCAGCAGCGTCCTCGACAGTACAGCGTACGGACGGTAAATGTAAGTTTTCGACATAGAAAACGGAAAAGGCCTAAGCTAAGCCTGCTCTCGAAATGCTACTCCAACTTTCAATTCAGGAACCTTTCCCCGGCCCACCAAGCGTACTCGTCAGTTCAAAAGACTCCTCCGAACAATCGAAAGAGGAAAGTGTCGTGGTTGAAAGTATCGATCGTCAACTTCCAGTTGTGGTAAAATTAAAGCGACCTTCAAAACCACGTACCCTTTCTAGGATTCCGAAGCTGAAGCCGTCGAAGCGCTACGTCTGAAGCATTTGGCCGATATTTTGGACGCGGATGAGGAGACTCCTGCAGAGGCTACAGTAACTTTCTACAATCCAGTGATGACTAACGGTTCGTTGAATGCGATTTATGAAGTTTTCATTTAGTTTGCACAAAGCGAGAGGTTGTTTCCTATTTTGTGCTCTTCGGGCGATCGCTGTCTGCTAAAGTGCGACCCGCCAAACTTCGCGGGGTCGACCAGAGCAGTTGTATTATGTACTGCTCACAGAATATTGTAAGTTGAACGGCGAAAACTTCAGTTTAAAAACCAAAATGCAAACAAAATGGCCTATAATCTTATTTTTACTTGTTTTTGCAAGAAAAAAATAATTAAAAAATTATTAGAGCTATTTTCTATGGATTACAACTGATGTACAAATTTTAAAATTACGAATTATATGTATACCGGATTTAAAATTGCTATTTTAGAACGCTACCGGTTCAAAATCCCCTTGCTACGCCGCGAATTACGACCCCGCTAGAGAAGAGTGCCGCCTCTACGGCCGAGAAGCAAAGTGGGACCGCCATTCGGCCAGATTGGCTGAAGACCCGAACATCATTTTTGCGGATAAATTCTGTATGCAAAGTGGGTTATATCTTTTTAATGTAGAAAAACCAAAAATTCGATTTTAGCCCAAAAAGATTGCTCAGCCGATTCGCCCTACGTCGTCTACCTTCACAAGCAGATGACCAAGAAGATAATTTCGCACTATCCCGACGTTCATTCTATCGTTGCTTGCATGGCGTTATGTATTGACCATGGGCATTGTAAGGTATGTTAGACGCTTGTAGGGAAGGTAGTCCGTAAAATTATACTGCTTGTGGGAAACAGGCCAAATGCCGACAGCATAAAAATACCGACACCCAAATTTCGACTTGCGAACCATTGCATCCCAAGTTCCCTTGGATGCAATTTCGCCAACTGGCGAGGTTTTAGCTTGTCGATATTTTGGGGACCGTCATTTTGGTTGTCGGCATTTTCACTGTCCATTTTTTATAATTGTCGGCATTAGGCATTTTCCGCCTAGGGCCATTTTCCGCCTAAGATTCCGACAGCAAAAATACCGAAAAGTCTGTCATTGAATTTAAATGTACGTTGTACAGCTTGCAAATTCCTCGATCGGCATTTTTGCTATTGACATGTTGACTGTCGGCATCATATTAATCGGCATATTGTGGGCTGAGGATTGGTTTTGTTGCAGGCAGTCACGTATAAAGAGGGAGGTCTCTGCATCCTGCACGCCGGCTCGCCAGCCCTTGACCCGAAGCTTATCGTCGACGGATCTTCGCAAACTATGGTAGTCGAGAATGGGTGCCAGACGAGTGCGAGAGCAGTGCCGAGCTTATTGTCGGGGAGAATGGGTATGTATGGTTGGCCTCGAAGTTTAGAGGGAGCGAGACAGATAGATAGGGATGCCTGAGAGAGAGAGAGCGTGAGAGTGAGAGAGAGAGAGCAAGAAAGCGAGAGAGGGAGGTCAGAGAGAGAGAGAAATCCCTACGTTTCAGAACGCATGGAACCAGCCCAAGAAACCCCTGAAGCCGAGGCTTCCGAATGGGGCGAGTGGTCGGGGTGCCAATTCGGGTCCCGCAGCGCCAGACTACGCTCCAGAACCCGCGAATGTTACTCGGACAACTGTGACGATCTCCAGATGGAGGCTTGTAAACCTGGAGAATATTAAATTATCGAAGTATTTTGATAACGAGCTGTATGACCCACACCTTTCATGTCTTCACATCATCTCCCCGGATTACGCCATAATCCTATCGATTTTCTATGCATATTTTTTCCTAATCCATTACATTCCGCCTCCCCCTACTTTCTCATTGAACTCAGTGAACGATTTTTGGGTATATTTTGTGTGCATAAATATGAATATTGTCGAGTTTGGCCGATTTCTTACATTTCGAGAATTTTTAACAGCAATGTACAGTGACAATTTTGCATTTTTTGGGTTAACGAGGTGATTATTTCTTGTTGTAACTGCGATTTTTAAGGCGGGTAGGTTGTCGACCTCCTAAAAATTCGTATTAGCTGTTTTTGGTCGTTTTAAAAGATCAATCCATTTTTTTACGCCAGCCTCGTGCTCATTCTTGACCCGGATCACCTCCGGCCGGCCAGCCAAAAATCCGGATTCCCGACCCCGGCGGTGAAAATCGAAAATTTCGGTTTCTTCCCAGCTGAGGTAGACTTGCCGGGGCGATTCGAGACTTGCAGGCAATTTTTTCAATGCGATACCTTGCTCTATTTTTCATCTTTACTACAAGTATTGAGGGTATACGCAGAAAATGTAGGTTTACTTGAAATCATGGCTTTAAAAACCTGCCGTCCAGATGCTAATTGCTTTTCACACACGACTCGCAAGACCCTTGATAATTATCAGCCGATTGCTGCTTTTGAGCTGGTTTCTCTACAGACTTGTATGCTCCAGTGTATCGAGGCTCCGCTGAATTTTGAGGTAAGCTTTGGGTTAGGCTTTGCTTAGGCTTAATGTAGGCTTAGCGTAGGCTTAGCTTACAAGGGAACCACCCGAGGTCGAGGTGGCGTTTCGTTATGGGACCCAGCCCATTTTGTGCAGAATTTTTCGCTGATTCCGAATCCGCTGCTCATTTTTGCCAAATAGCTCGTTTTAAAAAGTTATAGCGCTTCAAAGTTCCATTTTTCCCAAATTTGTCAACTTCAAAGCCATTTATTTTGCGTTTCCCTGCTGATTTATCAAAAACGAATATTGCCATAGTATTCAGAAAATTTTTCTCTATCGAATGAGCTATTTAACTCAAAATTGTTGGAAATCGAAAAAATCGACGATACTTGTTGGTATGGACTTCGTTTTTTGTATGGGAAATGGTGAAAAACCGGCTATTTCACACTCCCATAAGTGATCATCGATAGGCAGTAGCGCAGTAATTAAATATACCATTCGAATCAGAAAAAAAATTCTCTACAAGATAGGCTATTTAAAATGGATTGGCATATTAAAACAAAAAAGTTGGGCATCGTGACAGATGACCGCCCCCGGGCTCAAATATGATCTTAAAATTGCCGTAACTTTTTAAATCGGGCTATTTGGCAAAAATTGAAAGCGGGTTCGGAATCAGCAAAAAATTCTGCACAAAATGGGCTGGGTCCCATAACGAAACGCCACCTCGACCTTAGGTGGTTCCCTTGTTAGGCTTAGCTTAGGCTTAGCTTAGGCTTAGCTTAGGCTTAGCTTAGGCTTAGCTTATGCTTGCCTTAGGCTTAGCTTAGGCTTCGCCTAGGCTTAGGATTAGCTTAAGCTTATGAAATCTCACTGTAAAACGCTTTTGTATAGTCAGTAATGACCTCTTTTTGAGAACAAGGAATGCTTCTCGTTCACCTACGATCGCATCAAGCACAACTGCAAAATCTACGATCATGATGGCAAAAAGGTAAATTACTTCTCAAGATATCGGAAACCAATTTTCTATAGGTCCCTGCGATCTTACTACCCGCTATGAATTTTGATTTCTACAAGAAAATTCATGTGGGAGAGGCTTGTGGTGGTAAGAGAAAACTTGAATATGATTTTTTTGATTTTTAGCGCCTCCCAAACCCCAGATCATCTACACGGAGCCAGATGCCGAGCCGGATCCGACTACAAACTTCGCCGAGCACAAGAATTTCCATAACATTGAGGAGGAGCTGTTAAAGTAAGCTTTCTAAAGCAAAATGAAAACGATCGATGCTAGGGCCACGAAAGAGCTATTGAATCGAAGAGCTGCAAAAGCCGCAAAGAAGAAAGATTCCGGGCAAATCGAAAACCCAAAAATGATGCCGATAGTTCCGGGGAAATGCGAGACTACGAACGGATACTATGTCGTTATTGGAAACGAAATTTTGTTGCCAAGTGGATTCGATAAAAATGCGATGCGAGAATTCCCGGGAATCGAGCAAGGGGCTTGTGCGTCAATCTGTTCGAAGGAAGAGGTACGTTAGCTGGATCAAAAACGTAGTGTTCTTAGAGTCCGGAGGGTGACAAGTTAAAGTGTAACTCGCTAAACTACTTCCCGATCACTCGAAAATGTCAAATCCTGGCCGTGCTAGCCGAACCACATGGCGAGGGTGAACTTGTTGAGAATGAGGACTCGATCTATGCGGAGAAGTTTTGTCTGCCAAGTAAGTCTGGGGGAACTTCTTAGTGGCGCCATCCCTTTAAAATCGATAGCCATTTTTACCGTGTTAACCTTATCTGTACCATTTTAGAACACCCTAATGAATGCCAAGAGGCCGAGGTCTTCATCCTGCACATCGAGAAGCGTATTAAAGGAACACCTATGAAAGAAAAGCTCTCTCAAAGCATTACGCAGTGTTTGGAGGCTTGTCTGAATGAGGATGGGTGTGCTGTAAGTGATCGTCTAGCGTAATTTACTGGAAGTGTTGATTTTAGACCTCGGTATTCGATTCTGCCCGAGGTCGCTGTTTACTACATACACAACAAGTCGGCAGAGACCTTGGAATTACCGAAAACACCTCGGGATTTGTGTTGATAGAAAACGGATGCTATGGCAAAGGGAAAAGGAACACGGAGAAGGTAGAGGTAGGTATTCAACGGGGCCAAAAAGTGGTAGAATCGACATCATCTGTTCACTAGGTCCAGACAAGTACGCGTAACGCTAAATTACGCATGGAAAGCATGTAAACAATTCAAAAGGCGGCCAATTCCGACAAAAGGCGCAAAATTTTATCCGTAATTTGAATTGTCGTGTAGTTATCTCGACCTAGTGGCCGTGGGGGACGATGCTGACGTTTCCGAATACTTTTAAGAGCTTCAGAATAGGAGATCGAGTCGAAAACAGCGTTTTTCGCGTATCAAACTTTAAAAAAAGTGTTTTTCGAGATATTTTGGCCAAGACAACAATTTTCTCATCAGTTCAAGTCGAAGTAACGTACATAAGCAATGATATTATGCCTGTTTAGTCTCCTCGAGATCCAATTGAGTGGAGCCCATGGTCTGACTGTCAATTCAAGCTCAACGGAAAGGCAATCAGGAGTCGCACTCGAGACTGCGAAGACTGCGAAGATTTCCAATACGAGGAGTGTCAATAGAGCTTTATTTTTGCATAAAAATTTTTCATATTTGGGCATAGTTATACCCTAATTTACAAAAAAATGGTATGAGCTTCATCGTGTACTTTTCAAGTATTCCTCCATACATTCTTGGCCGACTTTTAGTCGTTGAATGGCGTATCTAAAAGGATGTTTAATTGATTTTTTTGTAGCTTCTTAGGTATGCTAAATTGTCAAAGTAAAGAAGCAAAATGAAAATAAAAATGAAATGATAATAATATTGCAAATTTTGTAATATTTCTTACCCAAGATAATCAAATTCTATCGTCGAATTCTGCGCCTGAACGATGGCCCATATCGTCCAGAAAAGATGGGACATCTGCAAATATTGAATTTGATGATTTTTGGTATGCAAATACCGCCATAAACAAGTCGCTTTGCTGGACTGCGGTTTCAAGTTGGTGCTCAGAGGGCTCGGTGCCATTTTTTGATTTTAGATAGTGTTTCAGCCATCCTCTTCGAACTTCTTTAGAAGGGCAGAGCGTGAAATCGGGGTTGTCGACGCCTGAAAAACATTGGATTTCCAAAAAATAATGTTTTTGTAGTTTTTCAATCCTTGTAAAACGTCCCATAATCGAAGAACGTTCAAATTATCTATGGAAAACCTTTAAATTAAAAATTTGAGCATGAAAAACTAAAAAAAAAAATAGAAATCAAATATTACCTGCCCACTCGCAAAAGTGATTGCCCGTGTCAAAACTCGTAAAGTTAAAATCAGCGTACTCGTAGTCGATGAAGCTCAATTTCTCTATAAAAAAATTAGTTGTTTCCTTAAGTATATACCTTACCATTCTTCTCATCATACAAAATGTTATACACCAGTAGGTCGTTGTGACAGAATCCGACTTCCGGTTGCAATCTCGAGGTGATCGCTTCCATCTCGGCCACCCGGGTTTCCAAGTCGACATTATGAAAGGCTCGGTCGTACTGGGCTTGCTTGGCTTCGTCTTCGAAGGTACCGATATTGGATAAGAAGTTTCGCATCTTATCGTAGACGCAGGGGAGCTTGGCGTGACCCGTTTCGATGTTGTGCATTTTGGCCATGGCTTCAGCGATTTTTCTGAAAATTGATTTGCATAAGGACAAAGTCTTAGATAGAGAGAGAGAGAGAGAGAGAGAGAGAGAGAGAGAGGGAGAGAGAGAGCAAGATTGAGAGAGCCAGATAAAATGGGAAAGGTAAGTGTCGCGACAAAACAAATAGAGGTAGAGATAGATATTGAGATTACCAACTTACGTCTGCATCTCCGGCTTCCGTACCAATTTCACGTCCAAGGTCTTGCCGGGAAGATACCCGCATACAATTCCATTCTTGAAAAGTCCAAGCAGCGGTGCAGCAAGTCCTTTTTCAGCCAAAACAGCCCACGACTCGAGTTCGTGGCGTCTGAAAAAATCATTTTATCGTTGCGCAACGTCAAGAATTACTATAAAACAAATTTTAAGGCAAATATTACCGTACTGATGCGCCTCATCTCAAGCTTGAATTAACACTCCTAGGCGCCGTTAATGGAAATCGCGCGTATCTACTTTTGCGGGGCCACGCACCTGTCTATAATCTTTTCGGTGTTCTTGCCAAAAACACGGAAAATTACTTTGTCATCATCGGAGACGGAGGCGGCAAAGATCTTGTTGGTAATGCCGGCGGTGAAGACCTAGAAAAATTGGTATTTGATAGATTTATCCAATTTGTATACAATTTTGTCTTCTGGGTCCTCTGTAAAAAAAAGTTTGAGGCGCGAAAGTAGTCCACAAAATTCTAATCTAGCGATATCAGATTGGTAAAAATTGACAAAAAGACTTATTTAGCATTTCTCAAGATATCTAAAATTTCTAGGGCTCTGTCTTTAAAGTTGATGCTCAGAAATCAATATCTAAAAATCACATTGTTTAAAAAATCATTGACGAAAGACGTATTTGATCTTTTCCAATTTATCTAAAATCTATAAATCCCTGCCTTCAAGGTCTCTTTAAAAAGTTTCCGCTCAAAAACTCACCTCAAACTTGACATCCTCCCTCTTCCACTCGGGCTTCAACGTCTTGAGAATATCAAGTGCCTCTTGATCGCACTTTTTCGGGTCCTGGAGGGGGAGCTCGTGGTGGAGCTTCTCCAACGTGGCCGCCATCTTGAAGATGCACATTTTCCATGTGAGATGGAATCGTTGCGGGTGGAATTTTCAGGGATTGGAGAGGACGGTTGCGAATGAATGGCTTGATGAATGGCGAATGATCGGTAGAAAGTGATCTTTATACTTTTGGCCTGATTTCCGTATCGTAAATGGGGGCGTGGCGGTGACCTTTAAAGGTATGCCGGAAAGAGCACTAAAGATAGCAGGCGTGACCTCGTTAAGTTTGCTTACACGTCTGTTGGCCGACGATAAGGGACACTTCGGAAAGTTGTTACGGTCGATTTGCATAACAAATAATTTTTTTTATTTTAATGCATAAGCCTCAAAGTCACTTGGAAAATAACCAATTTAATTATTCGAATTTTGCTAATTCATGGTTCCATTTCCTATTTTAGCATTTTTTTAAAAATTTTCCGACTTTAATACCTTTCAGGCAACTTATGTTCAAAGGAATTATGGTTCTTTTTGCATTATTGGGGAGTTTGCCGAGGGAAACCTATTTTTCCAAAGTCCGGCATGCCTCTTAACTTCATAGTAATTCATTCAATAGCATTTTTTAAGTTAAGTTTAACCATATTTTTCGTAAAAAAACGTGATAACTCTGAATTTCTTGAAATTTTTGAATCGGAATTTTGAGGTTATATCCCAAAAATTTGGAAAACTGCGACGCTTAGGAATAGTAACCAATAGTACAGAAAAATTCTTCTATTTAGAGCAGAAAGATTATATCGCAAGCTAACACCCGGATAATGCGTAGGGAGCGGGATTATATGAAAAAACTAGGCAGAGCAACAATTTAATCCAATTTTTAGCAACTGGTCTTGGGCGCTCTGCCCTCACTGAAATTGAAAAATTGCTAAAAACGTTCTAAATGATCCAAGCGAAGCAATGGATCGTCAAGAGTACAGTCTCGGGGAGTCCGTCAAAACTAGTGCTCCGCCTAGCTGGCAATTGTCTGCGAATCGGGGAAACAGATCGATTTTGGGCCGCGTTTCCCCCTTTTCCGCTGATCGCAACCAACCCCCGCATGGTCTCGATTTCGGGTGTGTGCACCCGGGCGATAAACAGGCAATAATATGGAAATGGCGCGGCTTGGGAGGTGATAAAATGTCTGTGATAACCCGATTCCAGTTAAATCAGGTCCTTTGTCTGCAAAGTCCCTTTAAAATCTGGACAGCGACAACAGATTAGGTTTCTTATGTCAATCTGGCAACGTGAAAAGCCAACAACAAGCACGAAAAGAAAGAATCGACATTTTTCGGGACCCCACATCCACCCACCCTGAAGCTTTTCCTTTCTTTTCCAGCAAAAAGTGAGAGGGATGGGAACAATCCCGGATGCGCAGGATTCGGCCCCCTTTACGCGAGCACCCCCGAAAAGCCAAAAGCCCCAAAACCGGGAACTCTGTCTGCTTTTTTGTTTGTTTGTTGCTTACACGCCGGGGCCAAAAAATGCCAGCAGAAAATGATAGAATATAGCACCATTTATCCAGATTCAAGAGGCGTTTAATTCTTCAAAAATATCTCCGCTCTTGGGTTGGTCTTTTCAATTTTAACCGGGCTTCCCGAGGACGAACTTCAGTAGCTTTACAAGGAGTGCAGCCGGTGTCTGTGTCTGGAAAATAAATATCCTATCCTATAAGCGAGAAAAGTATGTTTGTTTTCTGTAATAAAGTTTTCTCGGCCGTCAGGCCGAATTTCGCGCTGATATATTCATAGCTGAAAAATTCCAAGTTTGGAAGCGTTTCTATATTTTCAAGGGGTAGTAGTAACGTATGTGGCGGGACTCTAAAACTAAATGCAAGAAAACCAATAAAAAAATGGCTACCGGCATCAAAATTGGTTATCAGCGTCATGAACTTGGCCAATATAGGAACCGAGCAACGATAGAGCTCGGAATCGGAGCCATCTGGCGGCAAGCTTTCACATTGCTAGAATTTATTTTGATAGCTCAATTCGGTGATTAAATTTATAAGTCTAAATGCAGTTAATCAGACTCTACAACCTGCAAAAAAAGATCAGTCCACGGCCTCCAAAGTCCAGAATGATCGTTTGACGACAAATTGCACTCGAAACATGGTTCAGCAAGTAATGGTAGCTAAAACCCGTAAATTATATAGTAAATTTTACGTACTTACTGTGTTTATGAAAACAGGAAAAATCAATGCAAAAAGTAGAGCAAGATATTTTTGCATGGGCCGGAGAGCAGAAGGAGAAAATGCAAATGATCAGCCGGCTATTTCGGCGATAAGTTGTGTTACGGTGTGCCTCCGGAAAGCGTGCTAGATGTTCAGAGTTGTGATAAGGGACGTCCGGAATAATAGATCCGGAAAAAGCAGAACGTTGAGGTATTACGGGGATTTGAAAGGGGAAATGGTATTTTTTTCAACCACTCAACGAGGGGGACGATAATTACTTCTAAAATCATTACCTATAAACGTTACCATTACCCCTAAAAATCATTAGTATTACTTCTAAAAATTTCCAAAAAAAAACAATTTGCAAAATTATTAGCTCTTGAGCGTATGAAACTTTTTTCTAACGATGATAAGAGTTTAACATTCATATGTCGGAAAAAACAGCTGTTTTCATCGATTTTGGCCCCAAAATTTGCTAAATTAGCAGTAGCAACGAGATGCGCTGGTGACCTCACGTTTCATAGCTTTCGATAGATACCTAAATCGTTCAGATCGCGCGCTTTTCCGGTCCGCTAGCAATGGTGGTTTCGCGGGACACCCCACTAACAAGGAGTGCTTTTTTGAGTTATCGGCAAACCCTAGGAGACCTAGATGATTCGATAGAGAATCCAATTCTGAGCAAGGCTCCGTTGCGCTTTTTTGCGGAATGGCTATTCTTTTTGCGGAATATCTATTCTTATTCTATTTCTTTATAGTTTACGCTCTGTTTTCGCTGAAATGTTCAAACAATTTCACTGATTTTCGAAAGATGTTTCTTTTTGGTTGAAAATCCTTGGAAACGAACAAAAACTACCATTTGCTGGTTCAACATTTTAAAGCATGTTTTTCTATAACAAAATGTATCAATAACCCGCGAATCGTATGCAAAAAATGTCGACGTTATAACATTTTGTCACCATGATTTTCGCCATCATGATTGCACATCTAAGGATAGTGTGATGGCTCATCTCGCAGCTACAAACCAACACCGTTTCGTTAATTTTCGAGGTGGAGCGCTCAATTACTTGACGTTTTCACACAGTTCACCCGGGATGTGTCTGACAGGATGTGGGTACTTTCCGTGTCCTGGTAACCAGCTGCTTTTATGCAACGGTCGGGCAGAGTTCCAGAAAAGGAAAGATGTTTTGATCGAGTTTCAATCGCTCCGGTGTAGTGACCTTCGGGCCATGCTCAAATTAAATAAACACAGACGCACAGACAACACTGAATTTTCGAGTAATACCGGCACAATTTATGAAAACGAGCCGAGGCTCAGCGTTAGCCCCTAATGTTCTTCGCGTCATTTCCTCGTCTGGGCATTGATATGGATCGGTGTCGGCCACTTATCGATAACATGGAGCGCGGCCTGCCATTTCCCGGGCTCCACAGATGCCGCGTGTTCGGCAGCCCCGGGGTTTACCTTCTGAAACATCTTTACCAGGAGATTATTGGGATCTCAAGTTGGTACCAGCCATCGCTTTTGCAGAATGCGCTGAGGCCTTTTATGCGTTAAATTTTTTGGAAAAACGGGGTCAGGGTTGAAAAGTCGCGAAGCGGCTTTTGAACTCTGGTATGCGTTAAAATTTTGAAAATGAACCATTTTCTATGGTTTCCAAACCAGCTGTTCGGAAACCATAGAAAATGGTTCATTTTGAGCGTTTCTCATTTTTAGGTGTTGATGACTTTGGGAAACTGAAACTGCACTTCTGCACAAGGTCCCAACTCGAAACCCCAACCACCTTAAAAAAAAGTCTCTTTGTTATCGCTATCAAACTGAATACCGACTCACCCAGTACAATTTTTGAAACCAATGAAATATCGCATTTCGATAGGGCTTCGTTGCTAACAAAACTACAGCATTATTTGCGAGGTTATGAGGCCCGCCCCAACCGCAGAAGAGACCAGCTACTGAAAAGTGCAACTTTCAGAAAATGCGAGCCGACCTCACCCAAAAGTAATAAGTCGCCGTCCAAAAATCGCACATAAACCAGAAAAAAGGCAAAGCAGGGCAACCCGATAAAAACAGCTATCGTGCAAGACTAAGAAATGGAAAACCTTCGCCAGTTAATCGGATCACCTACCTGTAAAAAGAAGATGATAAAGAAATAACGATGCATATGCCGGGTGCGTTTGCTCAGCGTTGGATTCCGATGAGCCCCAAAATAGGTCTTGACATTGACGAGGCACACGAGTCCATAGAATACCACAGAGGCCAAGGTGATGGCTGAGAAGTAGTAGATATACCCGGTCATATAGGCCATGTCTTGGAAAAAGCGCATCCCTTCATTGCCGCAAAAAAATGGTTCGAGCAGGCAGATCTGGAACAGATACTGATTGTCACGTCCCTAACTCCAAAGAGGGTCATGTTCTATTTCGAGCGGTGGAAAAACTGTGCGGGGGGAAGTTGCGGTGCCGTAAGCTACTTCTGTTTGCCATAGCTATTTTATAGTACGTTATTTTCTGAGTTGTAATTAAAAAGCGTCGTATAATTTTTGACGATCTTTCGAATGACGTTTAAGAAATTTCGTAAAAATATATAAAATGTCGACAACTAGCTTTCGACTCTACGCTCATATAAAGGAACCATGTTTAGCCTTGTTTTCCTATAACCATTCGGTATTACGCTATTTTAGGATGAAATTAAAATTCTTAGTTTATTTTTTATGCTCTATCGAATCCTTTCTTCAAAATATCAAAAAACTGGTGAAAAGATGATCAAAACTAGCTTGGCAGCCCGACTTTCAAAGGTAATTTTCGCGCTTCCAACTTTTTTTCTATTACAATATTTTCGGCTAAAACAACACCCTGTTGATATTTTTTGATGCTTTATCAAATGGCGTTACAAAAATTGCGAGAAAATGGCGAAAATATCAAGGTTCTGCTCAATCAAATTTTCCGCCCGCTCGAAATAGAACAGAACCCGTAAGAGTTTCCCCTCACCTTGTCCGGGTCGGAAAGAAGACTTCCGCGAACACGCATCTCCCGAAAGAACAATTGGAAAAGGATGAACAGCGACAAATCAATCGCGTAAACGTAAAACTTTGCGCCCAGGTAAAAGAAGCGGTGGGTTTGCGAGCTCTGCGCCGAGCGCAGCACCCCAATATGCAGCACGGAACATGTGGTGTGTCCTAACAGGCAGAAATAGAGGTTCTAAAAGCATATAACAGCAATCTGAGGTTGCCCCCCTATAACGGTGGGCAGGTAAATGGCTACTCGCCACTACTTTTAAAACCATTACCTGCAAAATTATTGCTTCTGAAAATTCTAAGCGTCGGCTTGGGCATAAATTTGGCCAAACGTGCCGAAAATTGATAATCCGGCGTACCAACTTTTAGAAGTGAAGTTTTGGAAGTAATGGCTTTTAGAAGTAGTGATTTTAGAATTAATGATCCTCCCCCAAGTAAATAAATACCGCCTCTAACTCTACGCAGTAGTATCGGACCGGAACAGTATATTTACACCGTTCGAAATCCCGTGAAAAGACTGGCTTGCAACACTCTCAAAAACGATATCTTTATGAAATGCACTGTTTTACAAGTAATTTTGTCAAAACTTTTGGTTTTCGGGGTCGTTGACAAGTTTCCGTCAATTAAATGCATGGCCGTTCCTTAATTTGTATAAATTTGCTAGAGGCAAGCGCGTTTAATAAAAAAATATGGTTGAAAAGTGTGTTGCAACTGTCGTTCCGATCCGGTAATTCTGCATGGAAGTGCGCTTGTACGAAAAAAACCCCACCGCAAACCAATAGAATGCAACATCGCTGAAGTCAAAGAACCCAAGCAATTTGCAAGCAACGTATGGCGCATAGATGATCGGTTTTGCACCCAATGCTATGGTCTCGGTCAGGAAGGCGGAGGCCTGACCAAAAAAGTCCAAATCCGATCATAGGGCCCACCAGCAGATTGAGTTGAGCGACTCGATATTCCCTTGTCAACGGCGCCTTGCCGCTAATGATAAATAGGTGTTCATCATAAGCATCAATGCCCCGAGAGCCCAAAGGAGGTCGTAAAAACGCGCAATCCATAGTTCGTCCCGGGCTGCCGGGTAAAACATTTCTGCAATGAATAATCGCAAGGAGGGCCCGCTGGACCTACGGAGGCAGGTGTTTTTGAACAGAAATTCGTCGCTTGGAAAGGTGAGGTTTGTTGAATGCAGCTAATGAGGGCAAAATTTAGAAAAACGTGCTGTTAATTTCAAAGCGAACTCCTGTTCATCTCGCCGGTTCTCGGGCTGATCTGCATTGTGCAGAGTTTCTGGTAGCCGATTATCCGGATTACTATCGCGTAGCACAATACACAACACACTCCTGTACGCCTTAGTCAAACAACCATGCTGTTGCGGAGACTATGCGGCCAGCGCCAGATGCCCTAGAGAGCAGACGCTTGGACGCGCGCTCTCGCGCCGCAAGCCCAGTCCAAGAAAGAAAAAAAAACCCAGCAGCTGGTGCCTCAGGCTCAACGAATCTAGCTCCAAGGATTCAAGCAGGGGGCGAGCTGTATCAGCACTCATGCACAAGCTGAAGCGCAGCCTTCCTTGTCAGTGGCTTGTCAGTGCACTCCTGTGCGGGTGACGGAGAATTAGGGCATTTTATGTACGGGAAGGACTCCAAATCGCGCCTCGAAAGTGACAGCTGCACTCATAAACACACCTACAGGCACGCCAAAATTATATTAGGTAGGGTACCAAGTAGGTATACACGGAAAAAATACACATTCAGCCGCCCGCGCCCGCTATTGTACTTTGTAAGGTGTTCCGCTGAATCTTCTCCATCTCTCATAATCAATCTCAAAAATTACTGTGAACAGCCCGATGACGTGCAGACGGAACCTAGACCCTCGGGAGTCATTAGGGGAAAACAAAGCCCTGCAAAAATGCTACGGCATTTTGGGGCCGCGGCCTATTTTGAGCGATGCATATGGCCATTCTGGGCCCCTTTGGGTCAGTTCCTTCCAACCCTTTAGGGCCATTCCCTGGAAAATGGGGCCCCCAAAAATACGGGGTAGTGTGGGACCACCACACCCGTTTGGCGAAAGTACGAAGTGGTTGAGGTTTTCTGAGGAGGTTTTGATGCCCTGCTCTACCCTTTCAACCCTACTCCATTACGCGTTGCACCTAGCGTTTTGGAGCTTTTCGGGGGATTCCGGGTTTTCTTGAGTCTAACCAAATCTGTATTTTTACGTAAATTACGTATTAAACGGATTTTTCAGGCTTGAGCCTTGAAATTTTATGTTTTTAAAGGGCTAGTTCAGCCAAAAAAAGCAACAAAAGAATTTCCGCGGCCAAGAGTCGAACCTCTCTGCGTTTTTGTGTCTGCGTCTCTCTCATTTCCCCGATCTCTAGTAGCTGTCGTAATGGGGGATTGTTCGGGCGCACTGTGCCTACGTCCATAGTTTCCCAAGGTACCAGGCCAAGCTCTAAGAGTTGAAATAGCCCTTTAACAGCGTCATGTATTTTTGGTTTGTTAGTCTGGTAGTAGTTTGGTTTGTTAGTTTAGTCGCCAGATATTCGAAAAAACGTTTTCACATTTTCCCATAGGTCTTGACGACTACGGGTAGCACTATAACACCGTAGATTTGTGTTTCGGTAACAACCTCGAGCCGCACGTAGCTGTCGACAGCCAGCCGAAGAGAGGGGTCGATTCTAGCGCTTCCTATGACTTTTAATTCAAAGTTTTAGCCAGCTACGGTCTGGTCTTCTTTACGTTGCCCTCGGCTTGCACTGGAATTTACCAGCCACTTAACCCTGCTCCTAGGAAAAAAATTGACGGGAACGCCGATACAAATAATGCCGACAATTCCAAGTGGTTTTTTATCGGTTTTGGGTTGTCGGGATTTCGGCTGTCGGTATTTTTCAAAGAAGGGTGTTGGTTGTGCGCAAAAATGCTATTTGAAAAGCTCGACTTTCGGGCCATTTTTCTTCTTTCAGCTTAAAAAAATCAGACAGGGCAGTTGGATTCCAGGCGTTTCTGCGTCGGCATTTGGTTGTCGGCGTTTTGAACTTTGGTACTTAGGGTCGAACTTTTGGCTGTTTGGCCTCAAAAAGATAGCCTTCTACCCCTGACTGAAAAGGTTCAATTTTTCACTCCCATCTCGGGCCCCGATCTCACTACAACCACCAGCCGGCCCTCCATACACACACTATCTATCTGGTTTCCCAATTAGGCGTCTTCTCGTGGCAGCATCCATCTCAACGTCGGCTTCTTCTTCTCCTTCTTCCTCCTGCCCGTAGATCTTTTAATCGAGTGCTCGTGGGCCCGTCTCTGTGCTGCTCCTTCCTTCCAAACGGGGGTGTCTCCAACGGCCCGTCAAGTGGCCCAAACATAATTATTTTTCGACGGCCGGCGCTCCTCCTTCGGGCCGCCCACCCACCAGAAGCATCCTCGAATTCGTTAACCGCCCCCCCCCGCGGGGCCACTGATGTGCAAATGACAACCAGCCCTGGTGGCGAGGATCCGCAACTTTTAACCGGATTCGTTCTGTCTTTCCAAAATTCATCGCCAAGAACCATGAATTAAGCGGCCCGCGATTCGCAATGCGAAGACACCCACTTCCATTGCGTAATCGATTGCGATATTTTTACGGTAGCTAGACGGCTAGTGTGTTGCGTGTTGCAGGTGGAACTAATTTATAAAGAACCAAAAAAAAACCCACGACAAAAAAATTGCCGCGGTATTTTGTCGCGACGGCAAACCACAACGCGCACGAGCCCCCGTTCCATTTGGTAACCATTTACGACATTTTTGTGTTACCTAGATGGCCGGCGCGTTGCGTGTCGCGGGCTGAACTGTTCTCTTGAGAACCAAAAGACTCGAGCCAACAAAGCTGCCGCTCGATTTTGCCGCGAGCGAGCCGCAACGCGCACGCACAACCGTCCGTTTCAACAACCGATTCAACTTACGGCAGCCAGCTTGCACTTCCGTTGCGTGTCGCTTGCAAAACTAATTTCTAGAAAATCAAGGAAATTCGATATATCCTAATTCTCCCTAGGTTTTTGCGCGCGCGCGAACCGCGACGCGTTGGCCCACATTTCCATTTTTAAATACATATCCTTTAATATCCTTATCCTTTAATACCGTCTTTTGCGGTATCCGCGTTGTATGCGCGGTATATCGCGGTCA